CCCTAAATTGGAAATAGGGAACCCAAATATAATACCATAAAGTAATATTAAAATGAATCAAAATCTCTTTTAAATGGTGGAAATATATACCTTAAATTGGAAATAGAGAACCCAAATATAATATTTTAAATTTATTTCTAATTTATTTTGTTGAATAGCTTTTATATAAAAATTGTGGTATTATTGAAAATAAAACTAGTGATAAAATTTTTAGAACAAAAATACTAATAGTAAGTTAACTAGTGCTATTTTTGGAAGTTTATGGAGTGTGTGCTATTATTGTCAATAAAACTTGTTTTAGGGCTATTTTTAGGAATTTCTCATATTTCAAAGATATAAAGAGTAAGGTGGAAAATGAAGTTAAATTTGACTTTAGTTAAGCTCCAAATGCCAATTTGTTTTTTGTATTCATTGTTTTTTCTCGTGGCTTAGATCAATGAGAAAAAGATAGTCATATTATGCCAATTTTGAAATAGACAAAAAACCGAAATTAAATCAAGCAAAAAGGATGAATATTGGTTTCTTTCCTTTAAGTGAAGGCTTTCACATTATAATAACGTGTCTTCCATTGACCTTATCGTACTTCGAATTCGATCAATCAATAAGGCGGAGATTTAGATGTGCTCAATAATAAAAATTTGACTTTTGAACAAAATATGATTATTGAAGTATACATTATTCCCATATATATAATATATCAATGTTCTCCACTACTAAAACGAAGCTTGCGTTGATAATCCGTCGGTTATGCAAGTGACGAACAACACAACTGATAACATCATCACAAATATTGAAATATATACACATATAAACTAAATAGCTGTGGGTTATTATATTGGCTATGTAAAGAACATATATAAAATCTATTCATATGCTTTAATATGTGTGGATGGAGTAGACTGTAGAAACATATTTTTCTATATGATTTGGTACGTACTAAAAGCATTTCCAACACATTTTTTCATTTAAAAAAAAAAGTTGAGTAATTCTATATTGGAGTTAAGAGTTTTTCTCTAATCCTACTCCATTTTGGAATTCAATATTAAGGATTCCATCATCAGGCTAATCAAATCACCTTAGTCATTTTACAGGTTAAGCTAACCATATTTGTGTTCTTGATGTTTTCTTATCTTATGTTTTTAATCATAAATCGTGTTCCTGTATAAAGATGGGGTTATATATACGCGTAAGAACTTTCTAGAAGTTAGTTTGTTTTAGTTAGTGGGTTGCTAGGAAAAGAAAGAATCGGAATCAAATGAGGCAACGTTGTTCGCATCATGAAATAGTGGAGAAGTCTTACTTATCTTCTGTCCACCACAAAACCATACTACTTGGAATATTTTCCCAATGCACATGTATACAAATATAGGAGCCTCACCACCTTTTTTTTTTGTAAATAACCATATCTTGAACATTTCCGCATTTGTTAACTCATTAATAACATTTTGGTTATGTCGTTCCAAGTTTATAATAAAGTTGAATTTCGAGTAAAAAAGGAACGCTAATAAAAAGTCAATGGCTTCATAAAATCAATAAATCACAATGCAATTCAAATACCGTTTTCCCTCACTTCGTATGGTTATGACCCATGTAAAGTAACTATACTTTTCATATGCATTAATATAGGAGCATTTAACATCCAATTTAAAATCAGTTGTGTGTCTTTCACAATACTATACTAGTAGTACATGCTAGATAATGAATAAATAATAACGCAAAAAATAAATAAATGCTAAGTGTGTGTTTAATTTGTTTGGATCATATGGCCTTCCTTGATGCTTATCTTTAGGCACATTCATTACATGAAACAAAAAATTAGGTGATTATTTATTCAGTGCCCAAGGGACCATCGCAACCACACAAAATATCTATCCACATTTATTTTTCATTTCAATAAAAGTCCACATAATAATGTTTTTTTAATATAATAAAAATTAATGTTTTACAAAAGGGAGAATTTACTTTACAACGTCAAATTTCTTTGAAAAAACAGAATATCAAAAGCCAAAACTCAAAGTTTTGTATTTATATATATGAAAAGTCTATTCGATTGTGACTATCCTTATACGTTTGTAATTTTTACATTCATATACTGCTTTTTTTTTTTTAATATGTATTACTCGAGACTTTATTGTTCAACATCAAATTTATCACAATTCCTCGACACAGTTTGAGACATTTAATTATCGACGGATGTCTAGCGCCTATATGAAATTAGCTACCAGCATATATACATTGACCAAAAACATATGATCTAATACTTTAAGAAATAATTGGCCCCATCATGGCTCTTGCACACTTTGTTTCCCATTCTATCGAGTTGGAACATGTCTGGAAATTTAGATTATTGTTTGGTATATTTGTAATTTGGCAAATTTACGATATATACAAGCACGTTAACAGTATATAAGTGAATTTGATTGTTGGGACTTTGAATAAAAATAGGGATTATTGTTGATTTTGCCATTTTTCATAAAAATCTTTTGAAATTGCCATTTTTACTAAAATCTTACGGATATGCCATTTTCTAACATTTAAAAATATACGTATTTCGGATTTTTTTGGTAAAAATACGTAGTTTATACAAAATACTAAACCCTAAGAACAACCACAACCGACTAAACCCAAACATAACGAATAAAACGCATGTTAAATCATATTTCCGTAGCCTGAAAAAGGACAAAATCCATAAACTATTCAAAAAAGGGCAAAATCTACAAATGCCATCTAAAAAAATGGCAAATCCATAATTGATTCATAAAAATAAATAAATAAAACTAGAGTAGTTTTTTTTTGTTCTTTTGGTCATCAATGCATGTGGGCTTATCTTCGGTGCAATAACATTGAGAGAAATTTGACTCTATAACCAAAAAAAAATTATTAATTAAGAAACTAACACTTCAAAAAAAGGAAAGAGATATTCTCTATATTTTCTATAATAAAGACATGTTTACCCTATGTGTGAAGTGCATGCTCTTGTTCTTCTTCTTCCCTTTTGTGAACTGTGCTTCTTTCATCTCTCCTCTTTTTTTTTTTTTTTTTTTTTTCATCTCTCCTCTTTGTTTTGGTTTATCTCTCTCTCTCTCTCTCTCCTTTCCTACGAAGCTTACATACATCACCAACTCAAAAAAAACAAAACTATCAAAGGATCACAGTTAACTATGGATTAGATCACTGAAACCTTACTCACTCTATTATATAATAACACCATTAGCCACAAACCCAACCATCAACGCAACAACCTTAGTCCCTAACTCCGACTATTTTTATTCTTCGTCGGTCGGAGAATGCTAGCAAATTCCGGTGAAATCCTTTCGCCAAATTCTGTCTGATTAATCTTCACTTTCCCACCAAAGTTAATCTGAGAATTTTTAATTTTTTAGATCCATGGAAATGAAATAGAGAACTCGAAACCAGTAAATTGAAGATTTAGTTATGGATTTCTTAGATCTAGAAGCGATCAAGGGTTTAAGATGGTCATCGAACTCATGGCCAACGACAATAATCGATTTGTTCCTTTAAGTATCACGTATTCTCCATCGATGCAATTTTCCCAATTTCCAACGATTTCTTATGAGCCGTTGATTTGTTTTCGATGTGGGTATTAATACCTTGTGCTCGTGTTAGCACATAAATTACAGTTAGTCTGCAATTTCGGTGGAGTTTAGATGAAACAGATTACATACTATTTTCTGTACTATTTTATCTATAACGAGAGATAGTATTAAAACTCTTGTTTAAAACAAGAGCCACATTATTCACTTTCCACGCGCGTGTGCACTTGCTGATTCGTCTAAGAGGGAGTTTGACGACATTTCGCCACCCTCATCTGTTACTTGCTTAATTTCCCCAATTATAGTGCTATATATTTAAATTCATCTTCCAAAAGCGTCACTTTTGCAAATCACCCTAACATTGAATGTATTAGTTAAAAAAACAAAAAAGTGTTGCTTCGATCATCAATCAAAAAAAGATACAGCTCCCGAAATTCCCGCCGGGCATGTAACACATTGGATTCATCCATTAAGAGAATACAGTATCACAATTTTTTAGTCGGTACATTATACTATTTTGTTTGTAAATAAGACTAATATGGCGACAAAAAAAAAGAAGAAGAAGATTAATATACGTATGCGTATTTCTGCAAGTATCCCAACGCGGCACAAGCATTAAAAATTCACACTTATCTCGACCACAGACACACACCACACCACACCACACCACACATAAATATAACTATATTTTTTAGCTAGAACAAAAACCAAACAAAAAGTGTTATCAAATAACAAAAAGGTTTGCGGTTATATATTGCACTGTACCTAGACACAGCCCTTTTTTGGTCTAGACACATACGTATTAAACTATTAATTATGGGGTGTATTAAATTATTAATACATAAGCAATGGTATTTTTGATATTCTATTTGAGGTAGGCGGTTTGGTAAATCATGATTTTTACGCACACATTATATTTTAAATAATGTAAAATCTCACATGCTTTGGATCATAGATATATAAATCTGATTTCTAAAATAATCTTTGAACCGTATAATTGTTTTTACTTATTCATTTGTAAAATAAAATTAAAAAGTTCATAACTAAAAGTGTTATAAAAAGGATCCTTTTTGATAATATATTGAATTGTACATTAATGCAGTTTTTGATGATTGATATTTGATATTAAATATGTATAACCGCAACCGCGCTTAAACGTGACGGAATTGCGGGGAAACCAAAGAAACTTAAAAATAACACATTTTCTAATGATGTTCTTAATCCTTTATTCACAAATAGATACGTAATATGAACGGTACAAATGACTCATTAATGATAGTAATGATTTTTTTGAATATGGAAATAAGTAATTTTCCATTTTTAAAAAAATAAATGGTATCCATCAATCACACCCAATTCTCCTTTATATTTTTGTTAAGTCCAACCAAAATTTAATACAACTCAACTATACCGACAATGAAGTATTTCCTTTCATTATTATTTTTGGACCATAGTCTACAATTATTTAAATAAGTCTTACATAGATCCATAAATGATAGAATCTTTTTTCATCAACAAATCCACGATATATACGTATGGAAAAAGTAAATCTCTAACTTATATGATTTCAATAAATGGACAATAATGTTCATCTAGTAGCAACTTTACAAACTCAAGAATCGATCAATCCATAACTTACAAGACAAGAAAGAGAAAATTCTTTGTTCTTCCGTAAGAAGAAAGTCACACTCCACATCAATGGTTCAAGAGACAAATAGCTAATTAATAATGTTTGGTTCGTACAAACCCAAGTTCACGTGTCCTCCTCCTGCTTCACGATGTCGGTATGGCTTTGAATCGATATCTGTCGCAGTCTTGAGCACAACATGCTGCGTATGGAGACCACTCAAAAGTGATTGAATAAAAACATCAAAAGAAACCAAACTCATTAAACTCTTTGTTAATCACATTTAACTGTCTTAATTATACCTTAATTTGTGTCCTGTTATATGTATATGTGACGTGGACATTCCCGTCTCCGGCTTGTATAACCGCCGGGTATGAAAACTCCATTCCCGGAGATTCCTCCAATGTTAAAACATCGGTCCAAGAATCACCGTCGTCTATAGAAACTCCTACTTTGAGCACACCTCTTGAGTCTGTGTTGTAAGCAAGTACTAGCCTACCATCCTTTAGCTTGACTCCATCGATACCTGTCGATATTTTCGTTAATAAAATCGCGCTAAAACGAAGACTATTTTATACAATGTGTTTTGTTTCGATTTCAAGAAACCTGAATTTGGGTTTGGGAGAACCGTTGGTACTGCAAAACTCCAGTTCTCACCGCCATCAGAAGACTCTGAGATACAGATTCTGTCAATGCCGGAAAAGGATCTGAGTAAAACCCGTAATTTCCCAGCTGCGGTTTGGTATGGAATCGGTTGGATCACACTAAGACTCTTGCCTTGAATGTATATTGGCCCTTGCTTTCTCCATGATCTACCAGCGTCTGAAGTGACCTGAATCAAATCAACCAACACATTTCAGTGTAAAACCATTATAGCATACTTATCACTATTGAAATCAAATGAAATAGTTTTAAGGAACCTCCATCCACGCTCCCCAAGAATTCCAACTTTCAACAGATGATCCGCAAAGGAGTGTACCGTCTTCAAGCAAAATAGGCTGCAGAAGAAAGAAGAAGAAGGAAGCTAAGTTTCTAACCAGTCAAAAGGTTCAATCTTTATCGAGAAATCGAGTCTGTACAACGCAACAAGTACCTTGTTTTTGATGGGTCCGAGAATCCCGGGAGGAAGCTGTTCTCTTTCAGTCCAAGTTCTACCTTTATCATATGATCGTTTCATGCAACCGCTCCATCTGAGCTTTTCACCAAAACAAAAACAGAACAGATCAAAGAAATGAAACAAAACAAAATAGTTACTCGGTTAATTGAAAGACATACTTTTGAACCTCCTGGCCGATTTTGTAGAACAATAAGAGCTCTTGAGAAGGAAGTTTGAACAAGACAGGGTTCCACATTGGAACTCCTGGCTCTTCATCAACAATAACTGGTGAATCCCATTGACCATCCTGAGAAAACCAATCAATTGTTACACACAATTATGATCTCAGAGACTCTAAATGATTGAGAAGTCTATCTACTTACCTTGAAATGCTGCAACCAGATTTTGACATCAGGTGCTCCTTCCGTGCTGCCTCCGAAATACGCAGTCAGAAAATGATCTTTAACAACCTTTTTCACAAAAATGTATAAGTTCAGGACCCAATCCATCACTAATACTACTAAATATCGAATCAAAGGGACTTGTGTTGGTCTAAACCTCGACTATGGTAGAGGCATGACAACTCTTAAAGGGAGCTGAATCAGCAGGGAATGTGAATGTCTCTAACAACACTTTAAAATCTGTTTCTGACATCTGAGAATTTCATCACTCAACATATGAACAAAAATTTGGTCTAGTTTCTTGTTTAAACTCCAATGTAATTTCTGATCTCAGATATAACATCACATCACATGAAACAGTAGTTAGACTATGCATTGCTCTGATCAAAGACAATACCATGATTAGCTTACAAAGAAGTCAAATTTCCGAAGCATGAATCTCATTCAAGTTTCCCCAAATCGGAGTTACAAGTTCTCATCTTTCCGAGGAGGCCGAGAATTCAAGTTTGCAAAACCCTAAAAACTTAACCTTTGAGTAAATCTAGAAAAAAATGCAAAACATAGACAAAGATGAGCTTACCTTAATAAAAGTCTCAAACTTTCTATTGAGTGGAGTCAACTCTACTTCGGTGGTGATGACATTGACAATGACAGTGGAGGTCAGATCCACCATTGACGTTTCCTTTGTGATTTGCAGATTAAAATCTACAAGCTTTTATAAATAGGCCTTTAGAAGCCCAATGGGCTTCTCTAAATAACAAGAAGTTGCTACTACTATGATTTTTACAATTTCCATTTTTCTTATAACAAATTATACAATTTCCATTTAACAAACAACTTTAATGGGAAATTGCATTAATATGGTGGTTAATGAGAAAGGAAAATGGTATTTATTTGTCCTGAAAATAAGCTCAACGGTCGAAAAAAACAAAACAAACAGAAAAAACAGAACAAATCTCTTCCTCTCGGATCTGTTTCAATTTTTGGATTTCCTTCTTCTTCCTCTAACTAATTTTTCGTTTTCAGATTTTATTCTTCCTTTCATAAAAAAAAAAACAACAACAAAGATTCAAGCTTCTTATCATTTCACAGAAACCCAGAATTTCTCAATTTGTTCTGTTTTTCATATTTTCCAACAAAGCCATCTTCAGGAAGATAAAAAGTTTCAATCTTTATTGGGGAGATGGAATCACCGTCGATTGGTGATTCAGTGACGGCGAGGATGATTCCACGACATTCTTCTCTCGATTCGTTCGGAGCAATGAAAGTCTCTTTATTGGTCAATCTCGCAAGCATAAGAGTCTCTAAAGCAGAGCTTCGTCAAAGAGTTATGCTTCCTAAATACCTCCGCATCGCAATCCGTGACTGCATTCTCCGTAAAGACGATTCCTTCGCCGCTTCCTCCTCCGTAGCACCACCGTTAGATAACGCTTTGACGCCTGAGGTTCCTCTGATGGTTTTCGTTAATCCTAAAAGCGGTGGTCGTCAAGGTCCTCTCATCAAGGAACGTCTCCAGAATCTTATTAGCGAAGAACAGGTGTTTGATTTAACGGAAGTGAAGCCTAACGAGTTTATTCGATATGGATTGGGATGCTTAGAGGCATTAGCGTCTCGAGGTGACGAATGTGCTAAAGAGATTCGTGAAAAGATGAGAATTGTGGTACTTTTTTTTATTGATTGATCTTTAATCCAAAAATTTGAAAATGTTTTTTTTTTTTATTGCCACTGGTTTGATCACTCATTACAGGTTGCAGGTGGAGATGGAACCGTTGGTTGGGTTCTAGGATGTCTCGGTGAACTCAATTTACAAAACCGGCTACCTGTTCCTCCGGTTTCGATAATGCCACTCGGAACCGGAAACGATCTTTCAAGAAGTTTCGGATGGGTGAAAAAAGAGATCTTATTGTCTTTATTTGTATCTTTAATCTTATGGAAAGCTCTGTTCTAATTAGGGTTTATGTTGTTGTTTTTAGGGAGGTTCATTCCCATTTGCGTGGAAATCTGCGATAAAACGAACACTTCATAGGGCAAGTGTTGCTCATATAAGCCGTTTAGATAGGTAAAATTAGTACATGATATGAACAATATGTTTCTTGAGCTCTCTGCTTAATATTTTGATGTTAAAATCTTGATGTAGTTGGAATATTCTGATTACAATGCCTTCTGGTGAAATTGTGGATCCTCCTTATTCTTTAAAAGCTACACAAGAATGTTACATTGACCAGGTTTTGATTTTCTCACTAGCACACAAAATTAACACTCTTTGTTATAATTAGTCTTTGGATTATAATTAGTTAGTCTTTGTGTAGCAGGGTTTGGAGATAGAGGGAGAGATGCCTCCATCGACGAATGGCTATGAAGGAGTCTTCTACAATTACTTTAGTATAGGTATGGATGCTCAAGTGGCTTACGGTTTTCACCATTTGCGCAACGAAAAGCCTTACCTTGCAAATGGCCCTATCGCCAATAAGGTTTTACCAAAATCTCTTGAGAATGTTAATTTCGCTAAGAAGTTTTTTTTATCAAGAAAGAAAGCTAACGTTTTGTTGTTGCAGATTATATACTCGGGATATGGTTGCTCTCAGGGTTGGTTCCTCACACACTGCATAAATGACCCGGGTTTAAGGTATATATTAACACCAAGACAATATATGTTACAACCTCAAATTGTGGTCTAAAACCGGTTTGTAACTATCGGGTTTTAGGGGTCTGAAGAACATTATGACATTGCATATAAAAAAGTTGGACTCATCCGAGTGGGAGAAAGTACCAGTTCCCAAAAGGTATCTACAGAATTGAAACAAGAACACATTTAAAAGCTCTTAATTGGGTTTCTAATGAAACATATGTGCATGTTTGCTGGTTTTTGGGGACAGTGTAAGAGCAGTTGTTGCATTGAATCTACATAGCTATGGAAGTGGAAGAAACCCTTGGGGAAATCTCAAACAAGATTATCTTGAAAAAGTAAAAGAAACCCATTTTTTCTCACTTCACAAATCTTCTTATCAATTCCTCTTCTTATTAACGGTTGCTTGTGTTGTACGTAACAGAGAGGCTTTGTGGAGGCACAAGCCGATGATGGACTACTTGAGATCTTTGGGTTAAAGCAAGGATGGCATGCTTCCTTTGTTATGGTTGAGCTCATATCTGCCAAGCACATTGCACAGGTACTTCAATTCTAACAAACCAAACCGGTTTTATAGATCAATAATTAACAAATATTTTAATCTAATGAACTTCTCCAAAACCAGTAAAATCTAGAAGTCTAGTCTCGTTTTCATCCCATTTACATATCTAACATGTACAATTACACTACATAAATATGAATGATATATAATCTTTGGCAAATCGCGGTAGATAATGCGAAAAAAATGGGTTTTAACGAACAGGCGGCAGCGATACGGCTGGAGATAAGAGGAGGAGACTGGAAAGATGCATTTATGCAAATGGATGGAGAGCCATGGAAACAGCCTATGACCAGAGACTACTCTACCTTTGTTGACATTAAGAGAGTCCCTCACCAGTCTTTGGTCGTCAAAGGAGATTGACTAATATCTTGACTTTTTAATTAAATTAATCTCTTCTTATTTTATATATGTCAAAATTGTAATTGTGAATAACAAAAATATATGGAAAGTATATACTTATCTACGATTTAAAGGCGACCAAAACGGTAAGGTTGAAAAAAAAAAAAAAAAAACGGTGAGGTTGGTTTCAGACAAGAAGTAACTATAATTTTGGAGTGCAGGATGAGTAGACGGACACTCATAGAAGAACATATATAATTGGACCAAAGATTTATAACTTTCATAAAGTACTAATTGCCATTTGTACGTACGAACCACTTGCAATTTCTCTGTATCTTTTAGACTTTTAGTACCAAATCCACTATATGTAAATTATGTCTAGGGGTAAGGTTTTTTTTTTTTTGGGTCAAAGGGGTTAAGTATCAAACTGAATAATCTAAAAAGATTAACCAATCATAAAATCATTTGTATACAATGATCATGTCTATTTATTTTCATAACAAACAAACAGAAAGAAACTACAAACTACATAAACCTAATTAGTTGATTGAATATAATTAACTCTTGCTGCAGGTTTGTAGGAGCCGATATATAATCCTATGAGTTGGTGTATTGATGCTTCACTTCATATAATTTACGACGTAAAATCTGTAATATATGCATAAAGTAAATTTCACACTATATTTTCAAGAAAAAAAAACTTCTCTCTATATTTCAAAATCGTTACAATTTGTTTTGAATAATTTTTTTAAAGTGAGCGTCGATGGGACCAAACTAATAAAGATGTTAAAATTTCAATCACGGAATCTGCTAGTTAACGCTTTCGGTTTCTTCACGCTGATTAAATCTCAAACAGTTTTTGTATAGAGAAAATGACGACATATATTTCGTAAATTAAAATAAATTACTAATTGAAAAACGGGAAGCCAAATATAAACTTAGCTTTATATCAGCTTCGCTTTTTTTATTTGACTCACTTTTTAATTATTTTTGTTTTATCCCCTTCTCATTTAGATTCCTTGTTCGTCTGTTTTTGTTCCGGAAGCTTTAAAATTTTGTATAACAAACTATTTTCATCGAGCAGTATTAAATTAAAGGGATTAATATAAAAAAAACTACAATAATTTCTTATTTTAAGTGTATAAAAATATTGGGATTGTGAATTTGAAGTAGTGTTACATATACATGTGGGGGTCAAAATTATGTTGTTCCAAAAAGATTGAAATCACATTATTAAGACGTGGGACTACCTTTCTTGTAAGAAAATAATGAAATTATTCATGTCTCCTATAATAATTGTACTTCCATCTCTCAAAAGAAGAACATACTTTTTCATTTTTATCAATAAATTACTAAAGGAAGTTTCACACCATGCACAATATTAAATTTTTGTTACTTGATAGAAGATATGCTAATTTCAGAACATATCTTCTCTTCTTTCCTTACGAGCAACATCAGCTACCAATTCTTTGTTGTTTAAACCATTTATTACCTCTATTCTCTGCGCTAGCTGTTTGCATTTGTCCACCAAAAAACGAAAACACCGGTAAAGATGGAATATCAACTCTTTTTATCCGAAACATACATGTATTATAATGATCGTACTTAAGATGTAGTTACGACCACTAATTTTATTTTGAAACTCTCGTATATTCCAAGTTGTTTTTCTATATTATCTATGCTTCAAACGTGGCTGTTTAACGATGGTTAAGACTCCATCTAGATTCATGCATAAACAATACTTATACTTAACTCAGATTAGGGAACTGATACGGACCACATAATTTTTTTTATTAATTTGCGATATGTTTACTTATATATAGAAATATTCTGTTTTAGTTATTTATTGTTAATAGTGTTCCTAATTAATGTTAGTTTAATATGGGATGATATACACATCGGATCCAAATTTATCGGTTTTATAACTTCAGAGAATCCATATATATAAAACTATAATGAAAATGAAGGTTTAACTTAATCGCAATAGATTAATGAAAGAGTGGGATTTGGTTGGAATCTTTGTCAGAACATTGTTTGCTTTGGAAGCTTTTAAGAGTTTTTGTAATATATAAAATGTTCCCTTCTTTATTCAATTATTAAATCTTAGAAAACTATTAACACAATATTAGTGGACTCATTAAATAATTGTTATATTTGTTGTATCATTAATGATAAAATAAAACGAAAAGAATAAAAATGTGGAAATGAGGACGTAACGTAAGAGATTAGAATAGACAGAAAAAAAACGTAAGTGATTGGAAATGATGGAATGATCGTTTGTTCTTGACGTGTACCTCTGAGTGGGAAGCTGACGCTGAGAAATGGACCCCTTATTATCAATTATTTATTCAAATATTTCCAAAATCATTATTCTATTACAAATTTATTCATACGAAACAGTACGAAATTTCCCTAGACGACAAGAACAAACACAACAAATATTCCTCAGAAATTCTGTCATTGCCAGGAGACCTCGAGAAGAAAAATGCCTTACCTTAAGTTTTTTCTTATAACTGTATGATTTTGGATCAAAACATAGCTAAACTAATTTTTAAGCGTAAGGAAAAGGAAAAGCAAAAAAATATATACTATATATTTTACCGAACTGCAAAAAAAATACAAAATATTACCTGAATGGGGATGGATTTAATAAGAAAACAATGTTAGAAAAGAATATACATAGAGTAGCTTGGAGATTTTTCTTAAGTAAAGACAAAAGGAAAGCTAGCCTAGAGATTGATCGAGTTTGGAGGATCTAATGTTATAGTTTTGTTCACATGGTTTGAGACTTTGAGTTTGGAGGATCAAATGTTTAGTGTTGTTCACATGGTTTCGGTTATTTGAGGGAAGTGAACTCTGCGAATGACCTTAAAAATTTTTTTAAAAACAAGAAAATTAAAAACACGAGAAGCTTGTAGCGAGTACTGATTTTAATGGTTTATTTGGGAGAATTTTGATTTTTTTTTTAACTAGCTAGAATTTGAAATTACTGAGTATGGTGATATAGAAATTTGAATATGGACAACACTAAAGCAATTTTCTGACAATAATTTTCAAATTCTATAGTGAAATTTTATAGGTATTTTATTAGTCGTCATCTCATGGCAGTTTGGATATTAGCAAATATAGCTGTTTTTTACTTGGTTTCAAATATAACGAAAATGTTTCATCGAGAACGAGAATAAATTATGCACTGATCTCTTAAATCGAGTTGTCTAAAAGTTCGGACGCTCTCTTTCTAACTAGTAAAACAAACTATTGGGAAAAAAAATGAGCATCATAAAGTGTGAGTTGTGTGAGTTGTTTTCAGTTGTTCTAATCGTTTTCTCAATGTGTTTGACTAATCGAGAAAAAGCAAATGATAGGAACTTGACCAAATAAACTTTGATCCAAATAGACTCTGCAAAAACGTGGGACCTTTCTTTGTTATCTCATAAGTATATAGTTTTTAAAATTATCATTGATGAGATAATTGAGGCCTCAGGGATATGGTTTGGTATGTTGTTTCCAGCTTTTTTTCATTGGGGTTTTCCACTTTTCCTTTTTAATATATATATAATCTGTTGTACTTCTCTAATATTTCATTAAAATAATTTTGAAACGTAAAATTTGTTATGTTCTTGCTAGAATGATGATTTTGGTGCATAGTGGATTTTTTATATATATCATAAAAAATCGATAGTCACTTGTTAAAAGCATTTTATGGTGGTGGTGGGCTACCGTCTGTTTTTTCATTAGTATTGTTGTATTTTCGATTTTCGAAAAGATTTATGTGCAGGTTCACGTGATATATAAAAATTTTTTACTTATCATGATAATCATCTAATAATTGTATATGCTACATATGAATATATGTGAAATTAATTTGTTTATATATAGTAAATATGTATATGTATATAGCATGAAAAATTATTGAGAGCGAGTGCGAGTCTTGTAGTCCTTTCTTTGCCGAGTTTTCAAGGTCTCATATATATGAATTCATTTGTTTGTTTGATTTTTAATAATCATGCATATATTTTGCATATAGCAAGATGTTGGAGATGCAATAATGTTGGTTATATATAGTGGAAATCGAAGTAAGAAGATTTAAACAAACATGTATTTTTAGTTGTTTTAGGTAACGTTCACTTTACTTGTTTGGCGTTAACGGTTATTACGTTTCCGGCTATCTCTTCACGTTTGCATCGCTCACCTAAATTTTAGCGGCTTTAACGGAACCGTTTTTGGTCAGTGTCTTGTCCTTATCCTATTCCCCTTAATCGCCTCTTAAAAACCCTCTCTCTTCTTCAGAGTGTTTCTTTATCTAGTATCCATCCATCATTGTTTATTTCTTTCTTGTTTTCTATTTGAAAATTCATAAGTTTCATGCCAATGTAAATTAGAAAAAGAAGTATTAAACTAAGTAGATGTTGATCTTAAGATGACTATTAGAGAGTATAACCACTAAGAAGATATTTTCATAAAGTCATACTATATTTTATTAGTGGATTCGACACTATGTGAATGGTTGTTAATTATCTAAAACAGTGTTTATACAATAAATGATTACTAGTATTATAATTCCTTTTGTTTATCCTTGAAGTATGATGGAATCGAAGATATTTTTGAAATTATCCACTGATTAAGCTTAAAAGTAGTAAGGAATACTGATTAAGAAACAGACCACATTAATTTGGGTCCCAACTAATTAACAGTACCTAACCATCACAAACTCATCATTACACGGCTCGCTATATGCATATTAACTTGTAAATTATTCTCAAAATTCTACATAACATTCCTCTGTAAAGCATGTAGTTTCAATTTTTGAAATATATAAATGTTACCAATCATTTTTAAAAGCTACTGGTGTGAATGTGAACGTCGATCATTTATGTAAATTTGTATGTAAAACAAACACACATTTTATTGACTCCAGAAAAAAACAAAAGTAGATTTGTTAGTTCTTTTAGATGTTTGTACGCGACTTAAAAAGGACAAAAAAATGAGAATGGTAAATCTCAACAGCCACCAAAAAAGTTTACCATTGAATTAAGAGTTTTTCTTAATATATTAATTTTAATATACAACTTACCTTATCTTAAAAGTATGTTTGAAATTCATAGGGAAAAATTGTTAATGTTTTTTTTACAAAAAAAAAAAAAAATTCAAATTACATCTACAATGGTTAATCCTTTTGGATTGATACACAACCTCAATTACTTTGGCAAACGGCAAAAACTGATAACATAAGTTATCCACTCACGTCACGACTCCATATAATCATCAATGATAATTGATAACATAAAAACTGAATTCATATTCCTTTATTTTCTAACTCACTCATTACAGATAAAACATATAAATAAATAATAAAAATTTCCATAAATCAGAAGTAAAAAGAATCTCATACGCAAAATAATAAAATTAAAAATTGATACGTCACACACAATCCACAACGTTAATTCGTTTCCTCTATTCTATAAAACCCTCTTCGTCACTCATCTTCCTCCTCACACCAAAACATTTTCTGAAAAAAAAAAAAAACACAAAACTCAAAACCATCTTTTTTGTTTTCTTCTCTCTCTTTGTGAAAAAAAAATAATATGGAAGGAAGACAATATTACCCTCCGAGAGAAAACGTCGACGGAAACAGAACCGCCATGGGAGGACCTCACTCGCCGTGGCATTCACCGGTTCCTTATCTCTTTGGTGGTTTAGCGGCGATGCTTGGTCTCATAGCTTTTGCTCTTCTAATCCTCGCTTGCTCGTACTGGCGTCTCTCCGGTTATCTAGACGGCGAGGAAAACCAAAGCAGAGAGAGAGATCTTGAATCCGGAGATGTGAAACCTGAAAAAGCAGCGGTGAAGCCTGTTGTTTTGCCGGAGAAGTTCTTGGTTATTATGGCCGGAAATGTCAAACCTACTTACCTAGCAACGCCGGCGGTAAAAACGTGTACTTGTGACGATGATGAAGATGTTGATGATGACGTGGACGGTAGTGATCAGGTGGTGCGGCGGAGTAGTGAAAGTAACGGTGAGACACATTGACAAAAACAGAGGAAGGTAAGAGAAAAACAGAGGATAGTCTTACTGTGAACAGTTTTGAAGAATTGTTTGCAGCTTCTGACCCGGTTGCGTCGGGTATTCGGGTCGGGTCAGAACTCTACTTGATGTTGAGACTTAATAATGGTGGAAAATTTGGAAAAAAATTGGAATTGGGATTGGATTATTAGGAGGTGTTTTGATCAATGATGTATTTAAAATCTCAGCTTTTTTTTTTAACTTTTGTTCCATATCTAGGTCATGATGAGGGAAAAAATGTAAATTTCTGAGACTTTTAATGGGAAATTTATGATTTATGGAATTGAGAATGAAAAACAAATAACAATCTTAAAAGACTTCAATGGAAATTTCTTGATTATGTTTCAAATTCACCAAAAAAATAAAGGGATCATATGATGAAAAAATTGTACTGTTATGGTAAGGTCCAGTTCATGTTTTTCCTTGGGATTAATGTGACAATTGTGGTCCGAACAAAAAAGAAAACAGAGAAAAAATCAAAAGAGTCTTCAGGTGAGAAAATTGAAGTGATATTACCAAAGGCACGTGTGAAGGCACGTGCAGAAGAATGTCTGATTTTAAATTCTCTTAGGTGTCTCTAAATTGATGCGGCGAGGTGAAGCAGTAATATTAGCTTCAATCAATGAGAGTCCTGAGACCCTAATTGTCTAATTAATTTCATTTAGCTTAATTTTTAATGTGTTTCGAAAGTGACTTTTAACTGCACTAATAGGTTTCTTTTCTTTTTCCCTTTCAATCTTATCTTGTAGCCCTAGCTAGGCTTCTTTTCTTTAGTATTACTTTTAAGCTATGGATTCTTTACATGTACATTCATCTAATGAAAATGGATTACCAACTATAAATAGTGAATATTCGAGTTCAGAAAATTAGACTCTAATGAATAACCGTCAATCTGTTGCCAAATTATGTTCTTCTTTACTGCATAAATAAAAGTTTTGTTTAATCAAAACATAGTATTTTATCAATTTAACCAAGCTGTCGGAGGCAATTCTGCTTTAACCGTGTATGCGATATATGTTGAGCTGGGTAGACTTTAAAGCCTTGTTCTAAAAATCGGGCTAGGCGGCCGATTAATCGGCGCCTAGGCGCTAGGCGGTGCTGTACCGATGGGTTTAATGCATAATCGGTTTAAGAAATCGGTTTACTGATTACACCCCGCGTAAACCCGATTTTTCGTCCGCCTAGACCGCCTAGACGGCGCCTAGCCCAATTTTTTTTTTTTTTTTTTTTTTTTTTTACTTTTTTTTTTTATCTAAAATTCAAAACGTCCTACTTATGTTCGTAATTTGTATAAAAATCATAAATTTGAAATTAAAATCTTGTTTTCATGTGTTTAATACAATTTTTAAAACAATATTATATAAATTTCTTAATTATAATGGATTAATTGTTTTTAAAATATTAAATAGCCCTAAAACTAATCCCCGATTAATCCCCGTGTAATCCCCGATTTTCTTGCTAGGCGCTAGGCGCACCCTCACCGCCCGACTAGCGCCTAGCGATTTTTTGAACACGGCTTTAAAGTAATCAATGTTAGATGTAAAAAAGTTTTTGGATTGGTTATTGGGTCGAGAAAATAAAGTGGGCTAATGGTGAGTTTTATTTGGGCCCATTGTAGTTATTCACTTTGTTGTTTGTTCCATCACACAAACTTTGGGCCAACATTGATCCAACAATTCATCAAACTAGAATATATATATTCATAATTAAAGAATCATGAACCAAAAATCAAAACTAATCTTCAAAGCTTGTGTGAGACCTTGGTGGGTATTCTTGTTTTTAATGCATTCATAGTGACTAATCATGTTTAAAATCATAGTGGAAAAACTCGAACTTTGAACTTTCAAGTTTAATATTGCAACTACTGATACTAAATTAAAATCCAAAATCTATATATGTCTGAATTAAACCGTTAAATTATATTTCATTGTTTGCCTAATTATAAGATCCCCGAGTTTGAGATATCTAATGCACGTGTATGATGTGTACGGAGGTTAGTGTTGTGTAGTATAAGACAAACAAAGCCAAGTAATCTTGGGTGCATAATTGCACATGTAATTATATGATTCAACGTCTTGTTTGTTGATATCATCTTTTGGTCCATTTCTATTATTACCTTTCATTTCATTTTTTTAATATAATATTGTGTACTTAATGTCTTCTCAAAGTCTCATTCATTGTAAAAAGTTAATATATATCTTCCCTCTTTTGGATTGCCCATTCATGGCTCACACTTCCCTCTACCAACCCTTTGAAAACAATTTTTCATTTCAATATTCTTTTTTTCTACTTATCTCTGAAATCATTGATCCTAAACTACTATTTAATCATTCTTTATATGATTGATAAACAAGATAAACAGTTATAATAAGAAAGTAGAGGCCAAATAGCAACAATGGCTTTGAGAGGAAGACAAAATCAAGAACATGAGAAGAGACTACTTAGGCACAACAACAAAACACATCCTTTTGTCCCTTTGGCCTTTGCTTACACAACAATCACCTAACCTCACATTCATTTCAAATCCCATCATTGTCTCTAATGATCCATGTTTTTTGTTTATATAATATATTTGAAGCATATGCTTGTTTAGCTCTAGACTATCATTTGATTTTCAACAACAGTTTATGTGTGTATAGATTTTATTGATACTCAAACGAAATTTTGATCTCTAGGTTGACATATAATCTTGTGAGACTAACCCATATTAACAATATATTTTAAAATGAAACATTTGTGGATTGTTCTCACTTATAAAACTTTATATCAAATTAGTTAATAGTCTAGAAAAAAAAATCTAACAACTAACTTTAACTTCTGATTCTCGAGTAATATTATGCCAAAAAATAACTTCATTATAGTGTCATTGGCCTTATTGCGGTTTATGCTTCTTCGTCAAGACTCATACACACAGCTAATGATTATCACATGCAATGATCATCCCTTTTCCACACTCTTTATTAGTCTCGAAACATCTTTCTTCTTCCTACTCATCTCCCAAAAAACACTTGTCTTCTTCTTCAAGTGTATAGAATCATTGTGTTCTCAAAAATTCCGAACTTAGAGTGAGATAAGGGAGCAAAGGGCCAATACAAATGATATCTTGTTCAGAAGAAGGTAGTAACAAGATCCTTGTGGCAATCTCGTTGGACCGCGACGAGAGCCAAAATGTTCTATCTTGGGCCATCAATGTTCTTGCTAAACCAAGTGACACCATTGTGGCTCTTCATCTTCTTGGTTGGTCTATATAACCTAATTTCCTCTGTTTTTTTTTCTTCCGACCATTTGAAAGTTGGGAAATGAAATTGTTAGTGTTATTGTAGTTGGTGAAGAACCGAGAAAATTGCCAATGAAGAAGAAGAAGAGAACTCAGGTTCGACATGCCAAAGCTCACGTTATCTCCATGCTTGGAGAGTTCGCTTACACTTGCTGCCACAACCAGGTACGACCTCTTTAGTTTTGGAAAAGAAAAAAAATTTTGATTTGTTGCAAGAGAACTTTTAAACCGGACTAAACCGGAGATTATAGAGCTTTAATGAGATAAAACGTAATAAATCCAGGGTTTTTGTCAGGATAAAGCGAACCCATTCATCATTGATCTCAAACCAATTGTTGGTGATGTTTTATAACTACTGATTTCGACATAATTGCATTACACGATTACTTTTCGGGTCGAATCAATTTTGTGTTCGAGATTTACTACCATGTTATATTTCATAAACTTTATACTCAATAAATAAATTAATCTATATCATCTATATATGATCCTAAGTATCATTTCACTTGATCTAAACTAAATATGATTTTTTTTTATGTATATAATTTTGACTAATCGAATTTTCGGAAGAAAATGAATGGTAATGGTAAAGCCCATTTAAGCCCAAGAAAATCCGCACGAATTCTCTGGACGGTTGGCGTCGAAACAGAGGAAAACGCGCGTGATCACACTCGCAAAACAAACATATAATTATTTTGCTAATTACGAATCCACCCCGCGTTAATACTGTTATTACAATATTAGCAATATATTCCTGAAAAATAAAACCATTCAAATTAATAGGTGAATTTGGAAGCCAAGGTAGGGTTTAGCTCAAACATTGGAAGAGGACTAATCGATGAAGTCAAATCGATTTCTGCTCACTATCTTGTTCTTTCTCGACCAACAACTCATGAATTCAGGTAATAAACCGGACATTTTCCGGTCCGGTTTAGAAATCTTCCAATTCAGAATTATTGTACTAACTCGTTTGTGTTTTCCTCTCCATTTAGGATATGGAATGACATCACAAGATATGTCTCCGACTTTGCTCCATCAAGTTGCTCTGTTGTTCTAGTAGGAAATCAAAGAAAACCGCATAAAGATTGTTACTCTGACTCCGCGATTTCTCGAGGTTAGATCAATATAAATTATAAATATTCCATTCAAGTTTGGTTATAAGATTTGCTAAGTGGATTTCAAGACTTAACAAATATGTTTTTCTTAGACATAAAGAGTGAGAAGTATTCACCTCGCAGTGTACTAAACGCTTTATCAAGAGATTCGCTTAGCTCTTCAGGAGATGATGCGTCAAGCTTCAATGGTTCAATGGTCTCTTCTAGCTTCGCTTCGCCTTCCGGGAAACCAAAACATAAGCCAATGTCTCCATACAGATTCATATCTTCTCTTATCATGAACTCTCCTCTGAGGAAATGGAGAGGAAGCGACACTAAGAACAAGCCTAAACCTCAACCTTTAATTCAATGCTTCACTTACAACGAGATTTCAAAGGCCACAAATGGTTTTCATCAAGGTAAAACATTAGAGAGAGACCAAACTTTGGATCAAAAATAACAACTAAAGACAAAAATTTGTTCTTATAGACTAATCTAATTTAATTTTTTGTTTAAATTTCAGAGAACATTGTAGGCATAGGAGGCTACTCTGAAGTGTACAGAGGAGATTTATGGGATGGGAGAAGAATAGCAGTGAAGAGATTAGCCAAGGAGAGTGGTGACATGAACAAGGAGAAAGAGTTTCTTACAGAACTCGGCATCATAAGTCATGTCTCTCATCCCAACACTGCTCTTCTCTTAGGTTGTTGTGTTGAGAGAGGTCTCTATCTTGTCTTCAGATTCTCTGAAAATGGAACCTTGTACTCTGCGTTGCACGGTAATCTAACTTCATACTACTTTGATGTTGTGATTATAATATTTCTCCAGTTCTAGAAAGAAAATAAACATTGGACTGACTTTTTCATTTATACCGCGAAAAATCAAAACAGAGAAGGAGAATGTGTCATTAGATTGGCCTATACGATACAAAATTGCGGTTGGAGTTGCTCGCGGGCTTCACTATCTTCACAAACGCTGCAACCACCGGATCATTCACCGAGACATAAAATCTTCCAATGTTTTACTTGGACCTGATTATGAACCGCAGGTGAGTTTTTCTTGTCATGAAAGCAATTCGGATCTGGTCTCTATATGTTTGAAATTTTGATGTGATATATTATCATTGTGCAGATAACTGATTTTGGATTGGCGAAATGGTTGCCTAACAAATGGACTCACCATGCGGTAATACCAGTTGAAGGAACGTTTGGTTATCTAGCACCAGAGTCCTTAATGCAAGGAACCGTCGACGAGAAAACCGACATCTACGCATTCGGTATTCTCCTACTAGAGATCATAACTGGACGAAGACCGGTTAATCCCACTCAGAAACACATTCTCTTATGGGTATAATTCTAGTCATACCTACTTATTTGCCTTCTTAGACACGAAAGGGACCCCTCTGGTTGACTCAGAGGTTTTGATACTACAGGTTTTATCACATAACCAGTTTTGCTTGTTAAGTCTAATTTATTTTAATGCAGTATAATTGACAGTTGATTGTTAAATTCATAGGTTTCCAATTCAAATATGAAATTTTTTTGGATTGGTTCATATATTTTAGGGGTTTATCTCTTTTCTTATTTTAGATACACATTGATCGTTATATTGATTAAAAAAAAAAATGAACAGGCAAAGCCAGCGATGGAGACAGGTAACACAAGAGAATTGGTTGATCCGAAATTGCAAGATAAGTATGACGATCAACAGATGAACAGGCTTATCCTTACAGCTTCACATTGTGTTCAACAATCACCCATATTACGACCAACCATGACTCAGGTTGGTTACATATTCGATACCAATCGTATTCATTAGAACCAAAGTGTCCAAAAACCGAATTCCAATGGTTTTGATTTTGTAAATTTGTATTGTGTGATCAAAGGTACTGGAGTTGCTCACAAATGGGAACGAGGCTGAGATTGCAAAGAGCTGGAGAATGCCTAAGGATATGACTAATGACCATGATGATAATAATGAATGGGATGACTATTCTATGATTTTCGGATATGATGTTCCTTCGGATTCTTCTTTTTGATATTTTTGTCTAATATCTACTGATTTCTTTTATTTAGATTTCTTTTTCATTCTTTTGTATGTTATGAGATCTTTAACGTTCCCTCCATTATGTATCAGGATTCAAAACTAATAGAAATATCAAATAAGTTACTCAAATCAAATTTTAAACAAAGACCGTTTATTCTATTTCCTTTTAAAGATACAAAGTACACAAGTTTATTTGATACACAAAACTAAAAGCAGAGTTAGCCAAAACGAACCGTAACATATTTCTTCTGGATTAAGAAACAAATTTATTGTATCAAATATGTTATGCGTTTGTGTGTGTATAGAATAAGATACATAAATTTTTGTCGTTATCGATAAAAATGATTTCATGAAAAATAAAAAGCAGTATCACTTTAGTTCATTAAGAAAAGAAAGCAAAATATTGTATGGATCTAAATCGTGACAGTTTTTTTTGGTGAAATTTGTAAAAAACACATAATCCAATACGAAAAGAAAGCAATAGTATGGATCTCAATGGTGACAGTTTTGTCGTGGAATTTGTAATAACATATCTAACAAAGGAAAAAAAAATATTTGCCTTCTTTTTGTGCTGATGTTTATTATTAAGTAAACTGCAAAAATATTAGCTAGACAATGTAAAAACAATTAAGCCATGATATGTTAGTTATTTTTGTTAGTTTCTTTGTTTTGTTTTGCAATGGCAATGTTTATCTAGTGGAAGATGGCAACTGTTAGGATAGGGATTAAGGTGCAGAAGTGGACCACGAGACCAGCCCCTTGGGCCGGTGATGCACGTGGTTAGGGTATGGTCGGACCCTCCACTTGTCTCCTCTTCGACCCAGTCTATGTCGGACCCACTTTGGGCCACGCAGGTCTCTCTTTCATGAAGCCAACAAATAATTATCTCTTTTTTCTTCTTTCTTCCCAATTTATTGGTTCAACTGTTAACAAGTTTTTTTCCCTTTAAATGTGACAATGTGCCTCGTTATTACCTCTTTTTGGGGGAGTTTACACAATTTAAAGATTGCTTGGTTTGACAAAAAAAAAAAGTCCCCAAAATTCACGAGTCATAATTAAAAAGTTCTTATTACTTTTTTTTTTTTTTTTTCGTCTGAATGATTCATTATATTAAACAAAAGAGGAATACAAGGTAGAATACGGTTTTGGAACACTAGGCCGACAAGAGTCGAAACTCTTTCGGAAACTAAGCCGGCGGAACACAGAAATATCCCCGGAAAACTAAGCCCAAAAAAGGGAAGCAAAGTAGAATCAAAAGCACTAAAAGACAAGCCCGAAAGGAACCTAAGAACTAAATCTGAAACTCGAAACCAACATAACCTTCAAACAATCCCAGAGAAACAGTTGGCGACGGAGCTGGACCAAGAAACATGAGCCTCGAAAAGAAACAGACAATCTCCAAACTACCGAAGAATCCGAAGAAGAACTAATAAGAGAGCTCAACTAGTCACAACCCGACAGAACAGAGAGAAGGAATAAGCTAAGAAGCGAGCACAGCAACAAGCACCATCACGCCAACTTCAGAAGGATAATGAGCTCGAACGAAACTAGGCACAAAGAGGGACCTTTGAAAACGGCTGAGGATAAGCCAAAGAGGAGCACCAACCCTTACACGCGGACAAAGCAAACCAATCAATGCCACCTACAGACATGAACCGGTCACGACCTCGCAAGAGAAGAACTAGTAAACGAAACCACTGCTGCGCCTTGAACCCAACCACACAAACCAAAAAGGCTTTAGAGAAGAGCTAGTAGATGCACCTGCAACGATGTACCATCCGATTGACAAACCTCAAACACGAACCCAGCCCACCAGAAACCACACCCAAACGAGAGGTAGCACTCGGCGAAGAAGAACTAGGAACCCAAAACAGAGAGCTAGAGCAAGCATGACACTAAAACCGGAAAGCACAGCAAAGCCGTACAATAACCCGTAGAGTTAGAACCAAGATCAAGCCTAACTACACCATTGCGCAAGCCAAAAACACCAACTAAACCTTCAACACAAACTAACAGATCTACACCAAGCACAACCATGGAAATGCCAACGAAAGGAGGAGCTCACCCGATAAAACCAAACAACCCACAGCCCCAAAAGAACCAAGAAGACAGAACCTCCACCAACAACCGCTTACTCTCTCTCGCCACGAGCCAGATCCACCAACATCCGGCCACACTAGCCAAAGAAAACCTTTAAACTCTGGAGAAACCGCAAATCCTTGCAAAACCCGACGTCGCAGCCACCAAAGATCCAATTGCGACATCTCCGCAACTCCAATCGTCTAAGCATCATCACAGAGGATACCGGCGTAGACTGAGAACAAAACAAGATAACAACTAAAACAATCAAACAAAAGCCCTCTCACGGTGTCGGCGAGAAGCACCGACCACCGGAGAGGCAAGACTGAAATTTTTTTTTTTTTCTTCAACGGCGGCTAGACCTAATCGAGAGAGAAAGGGGAAAAAAAAATTTCTTAAATGTTTCTATTACTTATAGTCATAGTCTCATAGATGATCGATTATTATTTTTTATTTTTTTTGTTGGTACAATCGACTATTTTTCATAAAGTATATATATGCATGTATAAGCATTTTGCTATTTTTTTTTGTCAAAAGCATTTTGCTATTGAGAGTATTGTGTCACTAATCACTTAATCAGTAGTCACCATTACCAGATTTTTTTTGGTCACACTATTAAAAGATTCATATCCAACTGTTTGTAATGTGCTTAAATGATGATGAACAATCTATGAGTGTCTTACTTAGATTAGATGTAAACTCGTTCGAATCTGGTCATAGATACTGACATATATTTAGATACTATGTATAGTCAGTTAAGAAACCACAGCTTTCAGAAAATTAAAAGAGACTTAAGCTATATACAATTTTTCGATAAATAACTATAAGAAGTTCGTTGATAATAGGGATCCATTTATAATATTATTAATTGTTTGCATTGTTACAAAATAATAGTTAGACGTATATGTCAAAAAGAAAATCAAAAAAGTATTTTTTAAGTGTGTCAACCCATCTAATATCTATTCATGCGGTGTTTTTTTGTTTCACTTATATCGATTTTAGTATAAGTCCAATGGAATATACATTCGCACACGAGTTATACACGTTGTCAAGCAAACTTGGAAATATGTTTATAAAATAAATTGAAATCAATTATACTAATAATCATTTATAAAGAATAATAATCGTATGATTAATGCATAATAGACAATGAGTTTGGTGGAAATCACCTAACAAGCTTAATCCAAGGTTAATTGGGGGAAAACCACCACCCTTGCCCGATTTATTCGTGACACTCAACATCCAACTTTTAATTCTTTGTTTTTTTGTTTAATAAATCAAACTTTAGTTCTATGTATTGTCAAAACTTTGCTTTAATGCGCTATTATTAACGTTATTATGATTGTATATGTGTGGCCCCAAAGCATTGGTAGCCACTATTTGCAAATCTCAAGCTTACCTTCCAACAAAATATCCTGCCTAAATTGCCCCTTGCATCAAGGTCTCTAAACCCACTTGGACGGCAGAAGTCTCACTCAACTATATCGCAATCCAAAGTATTGATCATGGGTTATATTTTCATCCCATGCTTTATATACATTTCATAAAAAGTAGCTAGGTGCTTAAAATGTAAAGGATTTATAGAGGTTATATGAATTTGAAGAGAGTACTGCATCAATTTAGAAGATTATGTATATGTATTAGGCAATTGATATGTCTGTAACATACTTTGTTATATATCACACGTACACAAATCTTAGATTTTGAATGGTTGATCGGTTTATTCCGGATCGGACTAAAATCGAACCAACAATCAATTTTTTTTTTACTATTCACATAATTGTTTGATATATTCCAACTAATTTTGAATTAACTCTGTACCAACGAAAACATGTTAGTACGCCGTAAACAGTAACTGCAAACCAAAATTTTGCTATAAATCTAATTTATTTTGGTCTGTAATAAAAATAAAACGTATTTTAGTATAGAATTTAGCAAACTAAAATGTTGATATGCATTGTCCAATATGTAGCATACTGACCAATCATTCAAAACCTTAAACTAATTGCAAAGAAGTAATTATGAATAATACGAGAGGAATTTTTTTTTTTTTTTTGGTAAAAGAATACTAGAGGATTTTACTTATGGTAGATCAATGTAAACATCTTAAATGAAGAAAATAATCAGGCTCTTTCTTAGCCTCCTTGATTTAATATTAGTCCGAGATTGTCTAAAAGGCTATTGGTCATGTTAATAGTCAATATCTTAATGATAATTCGAGATAGTGAATAGTGATACCATAAAATCACCGATAACTAACGACAAAATATCACAGTTCAAATTGACTTTGACTCTATATGACAATAATCACGTTCTTGCAAAAAGATAAGAGACAGACAGAGAGAGATAAAAGATTGGCTCTACAGAAACCCAAAAGGCAAAGTTAATGAGGTTTCGGACAAAACCATTAATTGCAATCTTCCTTCTTTTCCTACGATTTCCGCAAAAGCAACTATTTTCACTAACTCTGCGAAAGTTCCAGAGATTTTGGATCTGGAATATATACATATATGCCTTGACGAATAAAAAAAACTTTTCAGTAAATATTTTCGGAACAAAGAAAACGAATAAAAAACGAAAACGAATAAAAAACGAAAACGGTAGATTAGAGCATCCGCAGTGGTGTATCCTTGCGTGGAGTGTATCTATTTTAAAATACAGAAATAATGCAAAAGTTGTTTCTCTCTTCACACCCGGGTGTAAGTTTACACTCGGGTGTAAGACACTCTATCTCTCTCTCTCTCTTTCTTTCTCTCTCTCTTTTCTCTCACACTTTAAATTATAATAATAAAAAAAATCTTACACCCCTCCCTCACACTTACACCACTGCGGATGGTCTTAGAGAGTTAGTTTTACATATACGTATGACTATCTTTTCATGATTGTTAATCATATAAAAAAAAAACTCACAACTACGTAACATAAAAACCACCTAAGTTATGAAAGAAAAAAAAATCAAATTTCCGATCCTTTCCAAGTGCTTCTCGTGCATGGGATCAGAGACAAAAAATACATGAATTAGATTAATTAGGATGATTTTTTTTCTCATAAAAACACTTTGTGCAAGTTGTAGTGACCTTAAAAATGGCCCCCAATTAGTATTAAATTTCGTATAGTTTGTGTTTTCGTTATAATCTATGCTACGTAACAATTAGCAAGCCAAAACTCCACCTAATCTGCATCAACAAATTTAGCGACAAGACAACATCAGCCAATTGATATTATAATTACCAAATTATATGATTAGCGAGAAGACAACATCAGCCAATAGAAATTATACCAAATTATATGATCTTATACTCCCTCTGTTTTTTAAAAGTTGTCGTTTTAACTGTATTTAGACAAATTAAGAAAAAGTATACAATGACTATATTAACCTCATAAAAATGACAAGTAATTATTTACAAATAATCTGTGTTTAATTAAATGAGGGTAATTTGGGTAGTTATTGGCATAAGTTACATTATTACCTTAAAACGACAACTAATTTAAAACAAAAAAAATGCTCTAAAACGACAACTATTCGAAAACGGAGGGAGTAACATTTTTCTAAATAAAAATAAGCATACATATTTATAGAAGAGAAAAAAAAAAAGTTACAGCCTTTATAGTGGCAGTGAGAGAGAGCGTAAAAAGAGTAAACGGGTAAAAAGGATAAGATTGTTTGTCTAGGGTAAGACTCACTATACTTATTATACACCCACAGTAATCGACGGTGGAAGATGTGTAAGTCTTCAGGTTGATTCTTTATCCACCGTAGATTCGAATTCAGAACGTTGGTACGACGCCGTACTGTGTGGCGGCTGAAGCATAAACATGACTAAGGAAAACGTCGTCGTTTTCAGTCTCTGTTCTTTTCGCAAACCGGCCTTTGATCCTTGGCCGTGACTCTGCATAAGCTTTCCTCGAAGCGTAACGAATCGTCTTCTCGAATTTTCTGTTCTTTCTCTTCTCTCTGTACCTCAAAACCCTAGCTTCTCTATCCATAGAGCTCGTTTGATGATCACCAGTACTCGCCGCCGTCGAGGTAGTGATCGTGCTCCGGTTAAACGGAATTGAGATTTCAGAAACAGAGTTGTTTGTGTTTCCGTCTGGAACTACACCGTATTCAATAGACGAAGTCGAAACCTAAAATTATAAACTCAAAAGTCAAAACTTTTACTGAATTTAAGCAAATTTTGTGATTAAAGATTTGATTTTGACGGAGGGAATTTACACTGTGGCTGACAGATTGAGAAGGGTAAGTGAAAGCAGAGAGCTTTGATCTGCAGAAATCTATATCGAAGCAATGATCATTGTTAGTTAACGGAAGAGGCTCTGTTTTCGTCTGAACCGGAACAAGACTATCTCCTCCGGCGTTGTTATGATTGAACGAATTCGGAAACTCGAAATCAATAAGACGATCGAAATCAGAAAACATAAAGTCAGAAGAACTTTTCATGTTTTCAGTTCCGATTTCGATTTTAGCCGGTTCGTTGAAATCATTAGGAAGTAACCACGGACATAAACCGAGATCATCACCCATAACCGGAACAGCGGTTAAATCCACGGTGGTGGATGAACCAAGGATACCAAAAGTCGAAGAAGGAGAGATTTTGGCGACGGCGGTTTCAGCTGAGTCGAAGAAAGACTCTACGGGAACACGTTCGTGACGGCTAGCGAGTGGATTAGCTGAGTGAATATCGGAATCACAAGTGACGCAAAGAGCGGCGGCGTCGGCTTTGCAAGTGACGGCGGCGGGAGCTTGTTCACAAACTTCACAAACCCACACGCGCTCATGGCGAGTGAAGGAATGGATTCTTGTGTCACATGATATGCATAAGAAAGCTGAGTCAAGTCGACAGAACACGGCGGCGGTTGCTGATTTACAAGCGTCACAGGAACGCGCCGCCGCGCCCCACCCGCCGGAGATTGATTTGATACTCTCTAAGCCGAATCCCATTAACTACTCTTTTTTTTTTTTCTTGAGTTCAGAAAAAACTCTCTCTCTCTCTCTTTGAAGTTTTTTTTTTGGGAGAACTAAAGTTTGAGAACGTGTGAGAGTTGGGTATTTGATTTGCTTCGAATTCGATGATCTGTCATGCCCAGTCGGACAGAGAAGATACAGTTTGTTTTATCGAATTGTAATGTGACACGTGGAAACATTACATCCACATAATAAAAATCGAATTACGGTATGGGTTTTTAACTTTTTATTTTATTTTTTCCTTCATGATAGAGATTTCAAAAAAGAAAATTAGGCTAACAAAATAAAAATAATTAGGCTGGATATCGTAATTCATTTTTCTTTCTTTCTTTCATGTCGGAGTATCTTTAATTCAAAACTTTTATTTTCTTTTATCCCCAAAATAAATTTGAATGAGATTTTGAATGAATTTCATCTATATATCATGTACGTAATGGATTAGTTTTGTTTTGGCTGTTTTATTTGTAAATGAATAGAAACAAAGTCTAATTAATAAACTTCATATGTTCTTGAGGCATAATTTCGTCTATGGACCGATACTAGCTTATAGTCTCCTTTTCAAACATGATTTCGAAATTTATGACATCGACTTAAATTCTCCTCACCAAACTATTAAACTTTGATTTTGTGTGTGTGTGTGTGTGTGTGCATATAACTTGGAGGATACCAAATGCTATGAATGAAATAGGCTAAGATTGACCATCCTTAAATCATAAATTGATTGTAATTACCTTTGTGGGAAAAGAAATTAAAAATCGTGTTCTTATATAATTCTTACATTGGTTATCTTCTCCTAACCTTTGATCAGCTCAACATTTTCTTCTTTTGTCGACCAAATTAAATGACCAGTATATATATTCATAAATTACAAATATTTTTAAAATAATTTTTTTTCTTTTCTTTTGTCAATATGTATTATCTTTTATAATTATTATAACTCCGTAGTTGTAGACTTATATAGTTGTATCGTATTCTAGATAGGGCCCTTTAAGGATATTCATGAAATTTTAAATAAATTTGGAAAATAGGACAGGATGGTCGGCATGATTTAGCAATCTTTATCAATGGTTCGGCATGAAAGCAAATTTGATTTTTCTTTCTAATTACAGAAACTTTGACTTCGAGAAATCATAATATATAACTCTGCTTAAGATTTCATTTTACGGTTTTTTTTTTTTGTCATCTGAATTTTATTAATAAACCATGGAAGGATACAAGGTGAAATACATATGCCGGCGGACTACATGAATGTCCCCGGAAACATTTGCCCAAAAGAGGGAAACAAAGCTCTAAGGTACAGGAAAACTAATAAACCCAAAAACACAGAGACAAAATTCTAAAGAGGAACAAACATCGTGGATAAAAACCATCTAAGCACTATAATTGAACAAAGACACGAGTGACTCTCACAAAGCTTCCCTATAGAACATGTAAACGTCGGAAGCACCAATAAGACCGGATAGACCTCACACCGAAGACAAATCAATAGCAAACCGACTAGGAGGAAAGCAAGAACCAAACGAGACCAGAGACACAAATACAACTACCCAAACACCTCACCAACAAATCGGAGAGAGTATACTTTTACGATATGTTCTTTTTTTTTTTGTTTTTTTTTTTTTTTTTTTTTTTTTTTTTTTAACGATATGTTCTTTTATAATGTTTGATTTATGATATGTTCTTTTTATAGTGTGTCATTAGTAGTTAGTACTTAGTACAATACACTTGTTTAACTGCTAAAAACGGTATAATCCAAAATTTACACAGGCCCGTTTGACCTAGGGTCTAGTTCCAAAAGGAAGAACAAAGCAAACGCAACGGTTGGTACTTAAAAAAGAGAGTGCAAAGATATAAGAGACAACTTTCAAAATCCTTATCTATCCACGTATGCTTATAGGTAACATATTTGTTCAATAGAAATAGTGCGATAGATTTTTATATGACAGTTCAATCTTACATATTATAGCCAATGATATTTATCTTTATAACATATCTTCCGACATGAGATCCACGCAAAATTGTTTTGCTGTTTTGGGCACTCATGCACTGTATTTTGACCCCATCTCACGATTTTATCGTCAATTTTAAAATCATACTACATGATTCAAAGTTTAGAAAAGAAGACTACTCTAATCGAATGTTATTACATAATTATATAATTAGTTCGGCTTAATGACAAATTAACCAATATTATATCGGAACAGATTCCACTACAAATCGAGGATGTTATATAGTACATCATCACAATAATAACATAATCCTAAAAACAGGTTTATAAAGATAAAAGAGGAAAAATAAGAAAACAACATATCGGCTTGACATATCTAATGCGGAGATGTCAGAATCAGTGTAAACAATACTGGAATTGTTTAGTTTTATCACACAAATCGAAATAAGTTTATATAGTCAGTGAAATGTGTTATGTATGTCGTCAGTGAAAGAGTTAGGGTTTTCGTTTTTTCTTTAAATTATCACTTTAGATTCGGTTTAGAAAACCGAACCGCGTCTTGGCATTAGAACTATTTAAACATCGAACAGATTAGTTTATGCTTTTATAGTCCCTAAAAGGCTAAAACCCTTTCCTTGCGTGTCAGCTTGTGCAGAAAACGTCATGCTTTGCGTCGGCCACATATATATAATCATTAATTAACGTTCTGTTTACGTTTTTTCACGTTAATTTCTGCTTATTATATTTCATCAACTGTTTCAATAAACCGTTGTGTTTAGACTATTAATCAATATATTATCTTATGTTTAAACTAATGTAGGTCGCAATGACATAAACAGTTCTCGCGTACATCCGGATCCAGGCGCTCGTATATAATGATCTTTTTTTTTTTTTTTTTTTTTAAATTTTAAATTTCCATTAAAACTGAAACTAAAAGATTACAAGGCCCAAAAAGCCCACTAGGACGCACAGGTCCGAAAGAAACAAAATACAAGGCCCAACCGAAAAGCCTAACAACAAAAAACTCTTCCCTGCGAAGAAACAGAAGGCAGAAGAAGAGAAAAAGAAGAGCAAGACAACTAAGAACGCAAGGAAACACCAGAAAACTATCAAGACTGGAAAAATTGAAACCATGTTGATAGTAAAGAGGAACCGGGCTGCGAGGAGCTCTGAGCACGAGATAGAGGATCCAGTCGAGCACGAATAGTTAATTGGATCTCCTTGATGATAAGAGATGGAGGTTTTGAATTTCCAGAGTGAATCCGGGCGTTGTATGGCTTTTATATAATGATCTTTTATATAAGTATCATCGTTGTATGGCTAATTAAGTTTAAATCCGATTTAGATGGTGTGTGAGCTGTTAACATAGTCAAAGACAAACACAAAAATTTAGTTCAACCAACGTGGGTTGGGCTAGTGGCACTTGAGGAGGTAATTCCAATATGGTGCCCGCAGTTCGAGGGCTAGCGTTGGCCACTGCGGTATTCACATGGCGGCTGCAGGCCTCCAGGAAACACACTAAGCGTTGGGCTCGGACGGCCTGAAAGGGAACCGGCCTCAAGTCTTGGTGCTAGTCGGGCTTCGGCCCGGATACCTGGGTTATCAAAAAAAAAAAAAAAAAAAAAAAAAATTTAGTTCAACAGAACTAAATTCTTCTTTTTGAACTAGCAATGCTAACCTGTTAAATATGTGTAACTCATAATATTCATATGTCTCCATGATAATTCCATATTTGAAAATTATAAAATAGATAAACAGAAAGTACGTATAATCCAAAGGAATTATATGGTGCGCTGTTTTTCTCTAGGATAATTAATATGTAAGTCTCAACTCTCAACAAGTATTATAACTTTTAAGCTATAATAGAGAAAATTAATAGAGAAATTAAGATGTATCGTTGATAAATAAGATGATGAGCATGCCATGGGATATGAGAAAGTGAGCTGCCAAAATGGATCGACGAACAAACGTATATAGACTATAGAGGTCTTTTCAAACTTTTCTTTTTAAGTACGAATTGATGAAATGAGCCCATTTTGCTATGAATGATTGTTAGCTTCGAACTTTGACTGTAGCGTGGTCCGGCCGAAATAAATTTTCTCCTAGCGGTCCACACTCTCAATTATTATTAAAAGTAAAAGCGAGTTCTATAAAATTGTGGATATATATAGAGTAAATTAGGCAAATTATTACTATACTAGTTTTATTTTTTTGAACACCATATTACAATATTAGTTATCATCTAGTTGTATTGTTATTTGTTAAAGCACAACCGAAATGCAAAACAGCCAGACACTGTACATTGAACGTTGACCTAATTATCATTCACATCACGATACATTGTTTAACTTGCTATTATGAGATTGAGCGAAGCAATAATTTGGTAAATTCAATCTTTTTAAAAGGTAATACTTTCCCTCAAAGGAAAGTGGGTGATCTGATCTCTGCCAGTCCAGCAAACAATCCGATACGTGTAAGCATCTTCTGATTTCGAGTAACACGTGTGGTACTTGAAAGGTCGTCGCATTAGATTATTAGTATTAGTCATCACAATGATAATTGGTAACGCATTATTGAGTAATATATTCATTTTTCTTCTTCTTCTTCTTATTCTAATCTGTCGTCCTCCATCATCCCATTGGCGTCAACAATAAAACATTGACGATATATGTAGATGAGTTGATCATAACACAAATGAAATGGACGTGAAATTTTAAACTACTAAACTATCATTTCTTCAGACTATAGTTTTTAGCTTTACTATAGAATGGTTTTAATGGATAGTCGTACAATCTCCCTACATTATCCACTAAAAAGATAGAAATTTTCTAGAAGTTTAATTTCTGTGTTTCCTTTTGGTAAAAATAAATTTAAAGACATTTAGCATAAATTTATCTACACTAGCTTTTTTTTCTGCTATCCATGAAAATTTGGTCTGCAATAAAATATTATCCAGTTTACAAAAGCGATGCAAATCTAGAATTACAAATTGAAGTTGATACTTAGTTTAATGATTTGTATTAATGTCTTTGTTTAATCATAATGTAGACTCCAAATGATATATACTGTAGAACAACAGAAGACTATGTAATGAAAATAAGTAAATTAGCCAAGAGCTTTACCGTTAATTAAAGGTATAAAGATTTTAGTCACATGTCAAAAATGAAAAGATTATCAAGTTGTATGCTGTTAGGTGAGAGTAATGTGCTATCGTTGCTGAAAAAGACAATTTGTAATACCATCTTCGTTATGCATTTCGTAACAATCTATAATTTTTGATGAAATGTCTAAATGTTGATATAAAAATTCTGAAATAACTTTTATAAATTAAGAAAATTTCGAATTAAAATTTATAAGAAATAATTTTGTGAAACAAACAACAATTAGTTAATGCTAAGCACTGTGTTTTAGATTGTCATTCAAAACATTTATCAATAATTTATGCATTTACATTCTTGAAAACTAATTATAAACGGAATGTTATTAATTTATTAAATTAGCTGTCAAACATTTTCTAATTTGTATGTAAATATTAATCCAGCTCAATTTTTTCTGCTTTTAAACAGTTTATTCCATTCAACTGTTTTGTTTTTTTTTTTTTTTTTTTTTTTTTTTTTTTTTTTTTTTGTTTTTTGTTTTTATCCATTCAACTGTTATGCTAGTCTAAAAACACAGTCACAAAAATAAGAATTATAGGATCTATATTAATGTTATTAAAATCATTATTTATCATAATGTGAGCTTTCACGAGACTTTCTACTTTCGGCCGCAATTCGACAAAAGAAAAGACTTACTACTTTTTGCCGACCTTTTTTTTCATACATTATATACAAAATAATTCGTCAACAACAAATTCTAGAAACATCGACGGATAGTAATTAGGTTTAGCATCATACATGTGACGACATAAAAAGTCTCCATTATTGTAATATATGTACTTCACACGGTCGTCGCAAAATTTTTTTTAACAAAGTCATAACCACTATTTCATAGATACATCAAGTAGATAGTCTACGTTTCCATAATTTTCAAACCTTTGTTATCTATACTATCGAAGATTTGTCGACTTAGGACTTTGAGTTTCTTTATAATCCCAAAAGAAAAATCCCAAATAATTATTAACGAAATGAACTGGATAATTTATTTATTGATGATGTTAGACAATTTTTAAGAATCAACGTTTTCAAACTCTAAACTCAAAGCTCAGTGTTAAATCATATATATTGGTAAGAATTTTGATTGTATATGGCTGTTTAAATGGCTGTTTTAAACTTTCTCGTATAAAACCTCCTACAAACTTTACTATAGTCAAGTAAAAATATTCTTTCACAAAGAAATAAATTAGAACTGCTCAGACTTTGGTCTTTATCACATAAACATAATTGAATCCAAGCAAGGCCTAAAACAGTTTTTGTTATTCATTTGGAGTAAGTAGAGTGTGAATTATATTAAAGCATAGTACATCAACTGAAATAATAAAACCAACCTCTCTAATCATCTTATTTTTTGGTTTTCAAACTTCTCAAGGATGCGAGAGAACTAAAGAAGACGATGCTTTTAATAAAATATAAAAAGCCTTCTTATTCTTCTTACATTGCTGATTGGAAGATCATCTCAGCGAGCTCCTGCAGTTTTCGTTTCAAAAGATATCGACATTATGAGTCTTTTTCTCTGTTTAACGAAACAAAACCAGGATTAATAAGTAAGAAACTTGTACCTGTTTGGCAGAAGAAACCTTTGGTTCTCCAAACTCTTTAGCCTTCTTCTCAAGATACTCGAAATCGGCTTTTCCTTCTTCTATTTGCTTCCCAAGCTCAGAGTCCCAAGTTGAATATCGCTTGCGTACCAATTCGTTTAGACTTCCCTCCTTTACCACACCGAAACCAAGTTTATCGTTAAAGCTACACTCTTTGATTCTTTTATAGAACTTATCTATTCATATCTTAACTAACCTCCAAGATTTTGACTGCATTTCTCAGTCCACGAGCCATTGTATCCATTCCACTAATATGAGCAATGAACAAGTCTTCAACATCTGTACTCTCTCTTCGCCTGTTTAATCAATCATAACATTATAAGCTTCTTTCTCGGTTTAAGTTTGTATAAAACAGCAAAACATTGGGAATCAAGAAACGCTCTTACAGTTTGGCGTCGAAGTTGAAGCCTCCTGGAGCAATCCCACCCTGTTTCATGATGAGACAACAGATGAACAACAGAAGCTAATATAAGGTTCCATTCGAAAAATTACAATGAAATTCCCAAAGATAGCAAGTTTTTATATTAGATACATTTTTGATGACACTCATCATAACCATGGTTGCTTCTCCAACATCTGTAAGAAATTGATCTGTATCCCATCCTGTTGAGACAAAGAGAAAACGTTGTTCAATCAGAATCTGGATAGGAGATGTGTTAATCAAGAGAGCTGAAATTAAAAAAAAAAAAAATACCAGTTTGAGCATCGCCAGTGTTTGCATCGATGTTGCCAAGTAAACCATTAAGTCTTGCAGTTTCAAGCTCGTGATGACACGTGTGACCAGAAAGCGTGGCGTGGTTACACTCAATGTTGAGCTTAAACTCATCAATAAGACCATATTTCCTCAAGAAATTGGCAGCTGTTGCAGCATCCCAGTCATACTGGTGCTTGGTAGGTTCTTGAGGCTTGGGCTCGATTAAAAGTGTACCTGATGAAAATTAGATTAGATTGTAATAATTCACATACGGCTGATGACAGGCAAGAATAAAATACTTACCTTTGAATCCAATCTTCTTCTTGTAAGCAACAGCAGCTTCAAAGAACCTGGCCAGATGATCAAGCTCTCTTCCCATATCAGTGTTCAAAAGCGTCTGATAACCTTCACGACCACCCCAGAAAACGTAGTTTTCACCGCCTAAGTAATGTGTAACCTCCATGGCTTTCTTCACCTGAGCAGCAGCATAAGCATACACTCCAACCTCAGAGCTGGTTGCTCCTCCGTGCATGTAACGAGGATGCAAGAAAAGCTGAGCTGTTCCCCACAATGGTCTGATCTTGCTTCCCTGCATTTGAAGAGGAAGAAGAACCTTGTTCTTAGCACATCAAACTGTGGTAATGTGACAAGAAGATAATTGTTTCATTGACTAAAAGAGTTCCAAAAAGGAAATCTGTTAAGAGGATAGATAGTCCAAAATCCAATGCAGAATAAGTAACCAAGTGAATCACCTTTTGCAGTTCTTTGGCTAGTTCGATAACTTCATCCAAGTTTTTGTTAGATTCCTGCAAATAATTGAGTATAAACAGGTTACAGGTGCTTTTTAAAAACAAGTAAACAGTGGGCTAACGAGAGAGCAAAAGAAAGTGTTCAAGTAACAGACAAGCTAGCTGCAAAGGAAATTCAAGGTTCAAGGACCAACTATCATATACAGTCTTTAACACAATGTAAGGGCAAACGGTATAAGTAAACCATCATGGTGTTTTCAGAAGCTCGAGTTACCTCAAGTGTAGTACCATCAGGTGCTATGTCTCTGTCATGGAAACACCACCAATCAACTCCAAGTTTCTTCAAGAACTCAAAGTTAGCTCTCACTGCATTAAACAACAATCAGGAACCCATTCACAGTAACTCCAAAATGAAGAGAAAAAAGTAACATAAAAACAGAATCTTGACTTACTTCTTCTCTTAGCCATAGACACAGAGTTAGTACCATCTTCCCAAGGCCAATACTTTGTAGCAGCACCAAATGGATCACCTCCAGTCCCACGGAAAGTATGCCAAAACGCAACACTGAATCTAAACCAATCCTGTTCCAAAATTCAGGACAAACAAACATCTCACACACAGTTCTTCAAATCCATAAAAATCATAACTCAAAATGTTGCAAGATCAAAACACAACAAAATCAAAGTACCTTCATTTTCTTCCCAAGAATCTCTTCTTCAGCGTTATACCACCTGTAAGCAAGTGGATTCTTACTCGAAGGTCCCTAAAAAATTCATCAACAATCAATTCATCTACACATGCAACACATCCACTAAAGTTTCCGAATTGAATCAATAATTATCAGAGAAATATCACCAATGTTTACCTCATACTTAATCTTGGGGATTTCAGGGAAGAAATCACCTTGCCAATCATCAGAATCACTACACTTACCACCCAAATCAGCAGGACATGTTGGTGGATCAGCAGACTAATTTACACCAATCAAGATCAAATACAAAACTTTAACCTCAGATTATGTTTCAATGATCGTAAGAAAACAAAAAGATTCGAGCTTTAGATTATTAAGTCTTACCACTAGAAATGACGCTGCGATTAAGCAGAGCAGGAGCATAAAAAAATCAACTTTCTTCATAGTTTTCAACGAACTCTGAACGATGATGAAACCCAAAACACAGTTCTTGTAATAAAATCGAAATCGCAAGAGAGAGAAAAAAAAAAAAACTCAGCTTTGGAAGATTTGGATAAAATCACAAAGATATATAAACAGAGAGAAATATTTAGATTTAAGTAAGTGATGATGATGATTAAGAATTAGTCAGATAATAATGTGACGTAAGCAAGTTTGTTTGATTTGTTTTTTTGTGTATTTCCAGTTTTGCCCCTTGAAATAAATGAAATCGACGGTTGTGATTTTATCGGTGAGTTAAAGCAGTCGTACGTTTACTCTTTATCCGGAAACAAGCGTACCGAATATCACGTTTCTGACTCAGCAATTATCCTTTTCTATTTTTAGGAACAATTTTAAAGACAATTATTTTGTGTCCAATTTAAATCAAGTTTTCTTGAGTTTATCTTTTATTAGTACCAACAAATAACAAAAATTCGAATGTTGTCTGAGAATTATCTCAGCCGTGAAAATGAAATTTAAATTATATCTCACTGTGTCCGTGACGTAACCGAGCACATTAAATGAATATTGGAAGCTTGACAACAAAAAATTATGTTTAAATTGCAGTTTATTTGGGCTAAACATTGAACAAAAGGCTTCTTATTTGGGCCCATTGAAAGCCTTTTTAGTGCTTTCAGCAGTGTAGAACAGTAGAAGAATCCATGTATTATAATAACTAGATAACAGCCCGCACATAGTGCGGAATAAAGTGATTTAAGTAAAATTATTATGATTAAAATTATTATCTGGAATCCAAAATCCATTTGTGTAAAATGAAACATGGAATAATTTTTTTATTTTTTTATAATTCAAATTTGGGACTATTTCGTATAAGAATACGTTTCACCCGTGAAATATTTAAACCTGGAATAAAGCTTCAACGTGGTAAAGAAAGTATTGACGAAGATTTATATAAACGTATATAAAGAAAAATATAAATATAAAGATTTATTAATATAAGATAAACAAAAAGTGTATGTTTTTTAATTATTAAAGAAAAATATAAATATAAAGATTTATTAATAAATCATTAATATAAATAAAAAAAAGCTCTCGTGATTTTTTATTAAATATAGATATGAAGATTAGTTGCCTAATTATTTGCTTTTTAGTTATAATTTTGTTTTTTATTTGTGTGATATATTTGTATTAAGACTAATGGCAAAATCTGTAAATAGTCTAGTAAAATTTGGGTAATAATTTAAATGGGTGGAAAATCACTCTGAAAGCGACACGTCAGCATGGCAGTTTAGTTAATAACACGTTAAAGTAAGGTTTATTTTTTAGAGTGCTTCTCTATTAATATATAAGGGATTTGATGTTAAAACCATTCCGTTACTTAGAAATACGAGTGTTTGATTTCTTTAATCGTCTTTGACTCTCATCTGTTGACTAGAACTACCACAAGGATTAACTAGAATTTTTTTACATAACCCAATGTTTGTATTTAAGAAGACAAACCTAAACAAAATAAAGAGTCTAGACAAACGAAAATCGAAATATTTCATTCAGACTGAGTCTTCAATATTCTCATAAAAAAGCATACCTAGTTCTGATTCTGATGATCACTCTCGTTTCCCTTGGATTCCTCTGCTTCCTTCTCCTTCTTCTTCCCAGCTTCCAACTTGCTAAACGCCTTCCCAATCGCAGCAGCTTCAGCAGGCAGAACGATAATAGGATCATCATCGTCTTCTTGCAACCCGCTTAACGCCCTCGCAATGACTGCAGCTTCACCAGCCATAATAGCTTCCTTTTCCGCGTTCAATAACTCACTCAACATCTCAGCCATCCCTCTAGCTTCGAGAGCAAGAATAGGCTCATAGTAAACAAGGTTATCATTCTTACAAGTCTTGAACATGAGTCTTGCCTCCTTACATTTACTTATGTGATCTTCATTGTTCTTCTTTGCTTCGTCCCAACATTTCTCTAATTCTATGAATGCTTCCTTGCATTCACCTCCCTTTATGTACCTACATAACCCGCACTCTCCACTCTCTTCCTCTGTTTCATTCAAATCTTCAACTAGAGTTTTAGTTTCCTCCACATCCCTCTAATCTTCAATCAAGGTTTTAGTTTCCTCCACATCTCCTTGATCTTCAATTAGGGTTTTTGATTCTTCCACATCTCTCTGATCTTCAATTAGGGTTTTAGTTTCATCTCCATCTCCTAGATCTTTTATTAGGGTTTTAGATTTCTCCACATCTCTCTGATCTTCAATTAGGGTTCTAGATGATTCTTCTTCCGCATCTCCCTGATTTGTCGACAGGGCCGTCTCTCACCCATGGCAACATAGGCATTTGCCATGGGTCCAAAAGTATTTTTTAAAAAATTATTGAAGAGAAAGGGCCTAATTTTTAGAATTTTTTTTTTTAATAAGAGATTTTTTTTTATTTTTTGCCAAGGGTCCTCCTAGAGATTGAGACGGCACTGTTTGTCGAAGGATCTTCCTCAATTTTAGCTTCAGCCACAGAGTTTATACTTCCCATAGATGAAGGATTAAGGTTTTGCTGCTACTCAAGATTCTTGCTCACTGTAAAAACTCTAATCGCCAACTCCTTTTCTTATCAAAATGACACAACTTTGGAAAAATTTCCATTACTTGTTTTTCTCTTCCATTTCCCTAAAATGTGAGACACAAATCCAAAAAATGGAAACGTTTAATATTGATTCCCCATTTTTTCCATATTCACTGTATTTGATGAGGATTTTCTCCCTTTTTTAGGGTTTTATTTTGCTTGTTGCAGAGGCAATTTTTACTCTTTTTTTTTTGTCAAAGACAGACAATTAAATGATTACCGTGGACGCACGCACACATTTAGTTGCTTCCAGGCTTCCAGCCCAACTCCAATAAAAGGACCAATATATTGGGCCGTAAAATCTGAGCCCAACAATTGTTTTTTTTTTGGGTATAAACAAGTGAATTTAGAACAATCGAAAAAACAAATATCTTCTGAGCAAAAAAGCTATTGTAATCTATGAAGTTTGTTTTCGAGTGAAAAAAAAAAAATCTTAAAGTTCTTTAGTCTAGAAAAATAAATATCTTGAGAATGTACTTTTCGAAATCAGTAAAAGCCAATGTAATCCACTTGTGGACAAATTGTCTTTACAAAAATGAAAAAAGCCGACAAAAACTTTTCTAAAAAAAACTGGCGTCTTTGGAATGGTATTGTTGTTTTGAACGTTAAAGATATCAAATTTAAACACTAAAAATATGTTGATTGAAAAAAAATGCTAAAAGGATATTGTCAAAAATTAGATATCTTCCAGTTGGTGCACACAAAAAAAGAAAAGACATTTTGCAGCAAAATAAGAAACAATTATCTTCTTTTTTTTGTTCTTTCATTTTCTAAATTTAAGGCGGAAAGAATACAAGCAATAAAGGAAAAATAGACTAAAAAAAAGAATAAAAGCCATAATGACAGCCCAATCCACGTAGCTACCAACTTGAGAACTGTGAAGATTATATAAACCACAAAAAAAAGCATTTGTTTATAAATCAGTTGTTGAGAAGATTACGTAGCTAAAGAAGATAACACATTCTCTCACCAACGAGACTCACGAGCTACGAGTCACTCACACACAAGAACCAATCGGTCAAAAACAACACACTAATAATATCTTCTTTGATTACTTCAACCGGTCAATATCACCTAAAAGTCAAATTCTTGATCCCACAAAAGAATCATATTCTTCACTAGTTGTGTTTCCTTTCCGATCATAATTCGAACCCTTCAAGATCGTCTTCTTCTTCTTCTTTCTTCTCTCCATCTCTCTGTTTCTCTCTGTTTCTGAGATGGGTTTGTTTGGAACGAAGAAGATTGGCAAGTATGAGATAGGAAGAACAATCGGGGAAGGGAATTTTGCAAAAGTGAAACTTGGTTACGACACAACCAATGGTACTTACGTAGCTGTCAAAATCATAGACAAGGGTTTGGTTATTCAAAAGGGTCTAGAGTCTCAAGTCAAGAGAGAGATACGAACCATGAAGCTTCTTAACCATCCCAACATCGTACAAATACACGAGGTTTGGTTTTGTGTCTGATGTCTCTGTCACATCAAGTTACTTGTTTTTTTCTTGTTCTTTTGATTCTGAGTGAAATTTTATAACTTTCAGGTGATTGGGACCAAGACAAAGATCTGTATTGTTATGGAATACGTTGCAGGAGGTCAGCTTTCAGACAGACTTGGAAGACAGAAAATGAAAGAATCAGATGCTAGAAAACTTTTCCAACAATTGATTGATGCTGTTGATTATTGTCATAACAGAGGAGTTTATCATAGAGATCTTAAGGTAAGAGAAGAAACAAACTTTTAAACTTTTGCAAAACTTTGTTTTTCTATAATTTTGTGGCTAATCTGATTTGGTTTTGGTTTTGGTTTTTGCAGCCACAAAATTTGTTACTAGATTCAAAGGGTAATCTCAAAGTTTCTGACTTTGGATTAAGTGCAGTTCCTAAAGTAACATTTTCTAATTCTAGTCATATAAAACCAAATATTTGGGTTTGAAACAATCAAATGATGCTAAATAAGATTTTTGGTTTATGTGTAATTCACAGTCAGGGGATATGCTCTCTACAGCTTGTGGCTCTCCATGTTATATAGCACCAGAGGTAACACTCACATTCACTAAAACACAATCATTACCTCTGAATCTGCAGAAGCTGATTTTGTTAATGAAAACAGCTGATTATGAACAAAGGCTACTCAGGAGCAGCAGTAGATGTATGGTCTTGTGGAGTGATTCTATTTGAATTACTTGCTGGTTATCCACCTTTCGACGATCATACGCTTCCGGTTTTGTATAAGAAGATACTCAGAGCAGATTACAAGTTCCCACCTGGATTCAGCAAAGAGCAGAAGAGGCTAATCTTTAACATTCTTGACCCAAATCCTCTGAGGGTATGTAACAAGAAAAACTTTGCATATACACATTCATCATTGTCAATCTTTGGATCCAAAATTGAGTGAAAACGTATGGATGCAGCGTATGACAATAGCTGAGATAATCATCCAAGATTCTTGGTTCAAGATAGATTATGCACCAGCTTATCACCAAGTTTCAGACTCAATCAAGGTAAGTTTATTATTACTACATATTTGTCTGACAACTTTAATAGCTTTGAGTCAAAGTTGTAACTTATCTGAATTGGATCTTGCAGGAAAATGTCGCGGAGATAAATGCAGCAACCGCGTCTTCAAACTTCATAAATGCTTTTCAGATAATAGCAATGTCTAGTGATCTAGATTTGTCAGGTCTTTTCGAAGAAAATGTAAAACACTTAAAACTATTTTTGCTTAAATCTTTAAACTCATCTAACAAAGAGAGTTAAAGATTGAAGTTTTTTCCTTATTGTTCTCTCTTCAGGATGATAAAAGATATAAAACAAGAATTGGATCCAAGAACACAGCACAAGAAACAATCAAGAAGATTGAAGCTGCAGCAACTGATGTTAGTTTATCAGTTGAAAGAATAAAGCACTACAAGGTACTAATCTATTATAAGTTAGTTACTTCAAGATTTCTTCTATAGATCAAATACTTTGATTAAAGATCTCATGAATGAATCTTTTGTTGTTGTTTGATTTTCTAGGTTAAGATTCAGCCAAAAGAGATAAGATCAAGATCATCTTATGACTTGTTATCGGCAGAGGTGATAGAGGTGACTCCAACCAATTGTGTTATAGAAATATCGAAATCTGCAGGCGAGTTAAGACTATACATGGAGGTAAGTTACTAAACCCATTCAAGATATATAAGTGAGCTTTATAGACTTATATGGTGATATGATATTGGCTTTTGTAATTTGACAGTTTTGCCAGAGCTTATCGAGCTTACTTACAGCGGAAGTAAGCTAAGAGTGCCATAGATTATCAAGTAAATGATGAACAGAGGACGCAAATTAAGCTTATTTTTGCAGATTCCAGTTGCAGTGAAAAGAAGACAATGAAGAGAAGAGATCCAGTTTTTAGTTAGAACAAATAAAATAACAAAATTGCAACAAAGATTGTATAACTTAGGGAAAAAAAAATTGGTCACTTCCCTAAAATCTAAATAATCTTTAGACAATACATAGGCAAACAAAATCAAGTCTTGCAAATTGACATAGTTGGATTTTGTTTTTGTTCTCTCTCTTTCATTCATATGTTCTTTTTCTAGTACTTATATTATGATTATCGATGAATTTTATTACAAATGTGTATATATAGACCAAAATTTTACTTCAAATTTTAGACCAAAATTTGTCACTGCGTCTGCATGTATTAGATTAATCTATTGTTTATGAATTTCTCAAAGACGTTCGAGCAAGAACCCACTTGCTTATATAACTCCTTGGAACATCTTGATCATGTTACATGTTTGAAAGAAAGTCAACGTTTTGATCAATTCCCTTATACATGCAAAACGACACACCATGCTAACATTATTGGGTCAGTCGTCACTTTATTGGGCCGTTTCTAGCTCATTTATATTGGACATTTGCAAAACGACGGCGTTGGTTTCGTCTATTCTAAGTCTAACGTCCGAGTTTGAAAACAAGCCCAACTATGGTTATTTTTCAATTGTACTTTGACGTTTCTTTTTTAAATTCCATCGAAAATGAAGCAATAGAGTTATATGATTTCACAAAGCTGTATCACACATTTTACAAGGTACAACTTTTTTATTTATTTAACAAATGTCAATTACATAAAAATAAATATTTATTCCATAGTAAATATGATCGGTAGAAAAGGACGTTCACATGCAAATTTATAGGAAATTAACACTAAAAAAGAAAAGAAACTTTACAACCAAAATAATTATTTCAGATGGCAAAATTGGGAAGTTGCACTGTGAACCACAAAGGTTTTATTTTACTCTTTTTTTTTTCTTTTTTTTTTGTTGTTGCCATTTTGTTCTTCATATCTTGGAAATATAGAACTTATAATTGGGGTTTTATTTTTTATTACTTATTAGTTTTGGTCATATAAACTTAATTGGGGTTTTAGCTTTTATTTACTCCGTATACTAGCTCCATTCTCCAAATAACTCTGTCTTTCGTTTTATCATGCATTTTTTTTTCATGCATGTTTAATACGTATATATTTGCTTACGTTTTATTTCTGTGGCATGTGAATACCCAATTTAACAATTTTGAAAACTGAATTGGCATTTCAATAGGAAAAAAATGCTAACCAATACCCTGACGTTAAAACTTAAATTAATAACAATTTAAACAACAATTCATTCAAGGTTCAAGGAATGATTTAAGACGAAGAAAAGTGACAATTTATTGTATTGTCACACGACTCACACCTTATACACATTTTTTATTCTAAATAATACTATTATAAAACTAAAACATTTACTATAATGATTGTATAACTTAGAAGAAAAAAAATTCGAATGGTCACCCTCTAAATATGTTTGGGTTTTACTTAAACTCAATTTTTTTAATTAAACTATGATGATGTCTTCAAATCTTCTTCTACGTCTTCTGCATTTTGATCTATCCAATTATTATAAAATGCTTAACGGGAAGAAATTCCAAATTGGTACAGAAGCTGACGAGTTCGGTCTTCATGAAATAAATTCCGGTTTAACGTAGTAACAACAATTTTATTTCTTCTCAAACATTACACACACAAGCTAGTAAGAAAGAGAGAGAGACAAAGAGAGAGAGAGATCATACAATATGAAGTGGAGACCGGAGAACGCAACCTTATTCAAAAGAGAAAAAGAGAAAAAGAGAGAGAGAGAGAGAGACAATTTGGGCTTCTCCGTAACCTTGCCGTGGTGGGCCGCTCCACTCCGCCTTCTCCGCCGCCGCTACCGCTTCCCTCCCCTTTGTCGTCACACTTCTTGAGCAGCTCGAAGAAGTTTCTTTCTACCTTCTTGCATTTCTCCGTTGATGCCTAGGGAAATCCTTCGGCAGGGTAAGAAGCATATTTCTTACCCTGCCGTAGGATTTCCCGAGGCATCAACGGAGAGATGCAAGAAGGTAGAGAGAAACTTCTTTGAGCTGCTCAAGAAGTTTGACAAAGGCGAGGGAAGCCGTAGCGGAAGAAAAGTCTTTGCCAACCTTTTTAACAACAAAAAGTCTTTACCAACCTCTCAATTTCTTCGCAGTAGGTTTTTTCAGAAGACATTTTTTTTTTGGGGTTTTTTAAGAGAAGTTTTTGGTGTGTAGTTTCAAAGCTAACTCTCTCTCTATTTATAGAGTTTCAAGCCCATATAACTTTAATAAGGAAAAAAACAATTAACACACAACTTGTTTTTTTGTGAGTTGTTTTCTTTTGTAAAAGTGTAAGGGGTTTTACTGGAAGAAATTTAGAGTGTGACAAGATACTGATCAAAATCTATTGTTTATGTGTGTGTGTAGAGACGATCAAAGTCTTAACACTTAGGACGATCAAAGTCTTAACACTTTGACTCTTATTCAAAACCAAAACCAACAATTTTGCCATAGCTTATTATATGGAGTTTAATTACTATGTAAGTCAGCTAAGAAACATTTAGATTCTGAAATATTGTAAGCTAAGCTCTGAGAGTTAACGTGAAGAGGAAGCAACTAAAGCATCTAAGCAGATTTGCAAGTAATCAAAGTCTAATTTGTTCGCCAAGATTTCCGTGTGTAATTCAGATATTTGTAGCACTTTTATCAGTTTATCTTGTGTTAATTCAGTTTGAGAGAGAGATTTATCTATGAACCAAGCTCATGCATGTGTTTGTGCTGGGAATCTGTGGCCGAAGTTTATTTACTTCTCATAAGCAAGCAGTTACTCCAACAAGCTAGGATGTAAAGTCATATTCATATTTTAAGACATGGTCACTTTAAATTATGTATGATGAATGTTTTAAAACACAAAAAACTTGGCCACACACATGACAACTGTGAACCAAACACCAAAACGCAACTTGCTTGACTCCACTCATCAAAATGCAAACGTGCCATCAGAAAGATTTAAATATTTTACTTTTCTCCATTTATATCTTTGTTAGATATATTTTTGTATTTTCTTATGAAAGCTTGAAACGGCAAAAAGTAAATGAAACACACAAAAATGTTTCCTTGTGTATGTTTTATTATAAAAATGTTAAGGTTTTGAATCTCGTGGCACACTTCATTTTTTTAAAAATCTAAAACTTTAATAATTATGTCCCACATCAATTATTATTTTTTTGGTTTTACTGTACCACTCATCAAAATGCAACTTACCAGCTGCAGAAAGATTTAAATGAATGTGGTGGGGCAAAGATGAAACTAGAAAAGAATGAAAAGAACAATAAAAATCTAAATAAAAGAAATTAAAGCTGATAAGAAAATATCAAAAAGGAAGAAGTATCCATAGGAACATCATATCCGATAATCATACACATTCACCATTATCATCATCATCGTCATTAGTCATCCCATTCATTATTATCATTGTCGTCATCAGTCATCATATCCTTAGGCATTCTCTAGCTCTTTGCAATCTGAGCCTTTTGTTCCCATTTGTTAGCAACTCCAATAACTTAAATTACACAAAACGAAATTCAAAATAAAATTCCACTCGAATTCAGTTTTTGGACATCATGGCTCTAATTTTTACTACTGATATCGAAAATGTAACCAACCTGAGTCATGGTTGGGTAATATCGGCGATTTTTTAACACAAGGTGTAGCTGTAAGGACAAGTACAAATAAAACTCCCTTTTTAGAGTGTTTATTGTCTATTAGTAAGGCTTCTCGCCAACGTAGTTACTCGGTGGGTCGTAGTTTAATTACAGTTTTAAATGATTCAAAATTGACCACAAACAATAATGATACAAGTGATTCGTTAGAATCTCACCATTTCGAAAGTGACGTCACAAAAACACTTTGGTAATTTTCTTAAACATGCTTTAAGATATATGGAACTTCATCAGTTTATACCATTTCTCGAATTGAAATTTGACATCTAATATATATAAAAAAAAACTCAATTACTGATTGTTTTACGATGTTTACATAACAAGGCCACTCAACAAAATTTTGAGGATATGACCGACAGGACATTGGAAACAACAACATACAATGATACATACAAATTAGATCTGTCGGAAATTTTAATTTCACGAAGATATATTGAAAACATATAGAAAAGAAATTAAATGAAATCAAGTACCAAACAAAAAACCCGTTTAACGTGTTTGTTTTTTTAGTAAGGCCTCTCGCCAACGTAGTTACCCGGTGGGTCGTAGTTACAAGTGATGAAAACTCCGGCACCGTTTTCACAAACCACACGTGCGCATCCGAGCCTTTTGGTGTCACGCCACACCATCTGAGTGTAGTGACCACACATTCCACTTCCGTCACACGAGTTGCTGTTGTAGTTGTATGACCTACCTTCCACGACCCATGACTGAACCGCGAAACCTGGTGCCCAGCTCGAGCCGCTTCCCCAGAACAAGTTCTCACCGTATGCGCCGGTCGAATGGGTTAAAGAGCAGTCGTAACGCCTCTGGTTAGCCCACCATTGCGCGTAGCTCGCTAGCTTTCCGTCCCAAACCAATGGAGACAAACCTGATAGGAAATGAGATTCATTTCATCAAAATCAATAACAATAACAATATACAATTAAAAAATAAATACCGCTTAAGTTATACACTAAATGTAAACTTAAAATTAAACAACGAATGAAAACAATGAAAAAAAAAACCCTACATACATTATCTAAAATTGAACCAACATTCATGAATTCTGTTTATTTTGAATTTATAAATATCATACGTAGCAATAATTTTTTCCTTTAACTGGCGAAACCCGTAATAATTGTGAGAAAAGGGAAATTTTTTTTGTTTTGCGAGAGAAATCAACCATGATTAAAATTGCAATGAAAAAGACTAGAACCTTGACAACTAATATGGTGAATGTAACAATATTTCTAACAAATAAATACCTAGTCTGGACCGAAGAACGTTATGTGGATCAAGGAACAGTCTAGCAATTGAGCCAGCGGGTAGACTAGGGGTAGTAGGAGGCCGATAAACAGGCTTGGGGCTCGGGCTCGGAAGTGGGACTCGTGGCGTAGGAACGTAAGGGGTAGGGGTAACCGGTGGCCTTGGACGGTAATAGTCTGCATGGACTGCTTGGAAAGCAACCAAGAGAAGGGAAATTGTGAAGACAATGACTTGGGTCGTCGACGAAGTGGTCGCCATCTTTGTGGTGTGAGACTATGAAAGATGGTTTTGTGGGTGGCGTGAAGGGAAATGGCTTTGGTGAGTGATTATTTATAAGTTATGAATTCATGAATTAATTAATGACTTCGAACCTTTAAAGGATGTCAACTACAATGTGGCTTCCATGTTCGATTATGGTTACCACTCTTTTATGTTTCCCTTTAATTTACTTAAACGGATTTTAGGTTCATTGATAATTGTCAATTAGGGTATGATTTTTGTCTCTATGTATATTAACACCTTGATTAACGAATATTCATATACTGTAGTTTATTAAGTGATTAGCTATATGAACATTTTATCCTTATTATTCAAAATGATTATAAAAAAAAAACTATCCGCTTAGCTTTAAAATTCAGAAATGTTTTATTCTTTGCGAAACAGAACTGAAAAATTTATTTTAAGAAAAAAAAAAAAAACTGTTGTCTCATGCATATATATAAGAAGTTGTGGTGGAGATAATTTAAAATCTTAAGAGTGAAATGAAAATGTATAGATCAATAGCGTTCACTACAAGAAATCTACAATGTTAAGTCATTTAGTTAACGACAGTTTACAAAATGACGTAAACTTTTTTTTAAAAGAAGGGATTTAGATTCGGTTATTAAACCGACGTCATAAACCAACGCAAAAGTGCTTCAATTTGGGTCTTCTAATTTGTTTATTGGGTTTAAGGCCCAACCACTAAACACATCAAACGCTTCTTCTTTCTTCGGAGAACAATTTCATCCTCTTCTTCTCCAAAGCTTCTTCTCAAATCCAGAAAACACGAGCTTCTTCTTCTTCGGAGAACTTCAAATTAATCGAAGAAATCATGGGGTTTTTCGTTTCCGGGAACTTCTAAGTAGATTTCAAGCGTTCATCGATCTCATTGTTCATCGATCTCATCGTTAATCAGTCTCGATTGGATACTTTCATCATTCTCATCGTTCATCAGTCTCGATTTGATTTTTTCTCATCGTTCGTAAGGTTTGAATTTCTTAAATTTTGTTTACATAAGTAGCTTTATGTAACTCTTGGTATAGAAACAAAATCGGCTCTTACGGATCTAATCATGTTTTAGTTTAAGATCGTGTGCTTTAGATCCTAGATTAGGTCTTTCTCAGGCTTATATCTGTAGATTGATTGGAATTTTGAGTTTTGGAGGCCAATTTCAATACATGAATCTGAATAGCTTGAGTGAAATTTGTAGGTGCTCAATTTCTTGTTGTTTTGTTTGTAGATTTGATTTTTTTTTCAATACTTTGTGACTCTGTGTAATTTTAAATATGAGAAGGTGTAATTTGGTGCAGGTATTCTACATACCATTGTCTTTCATCATGTGCTTGGTCTTATCCGCCCTAAAGATCACTTACGTAAGATTTCAGTTTCTTTCTCTCCTCTCTATGGTTTTTGTTATGATACAGAAGGGAGCTTACTAGTTTAACCAGATGGGTGAGTATGCTTTGATTTTGATATATTGGTGGGTTTTCCTTTTTTTTTTCCCATATGTCACAGGTACAATGCAGTGAAATAGAAGTGGAAAAGAAAATTGATGAAAAGATTGAGCAATTCATAAACTGGATTGAGAAACACCCAAACAAGAAGAGTCAGGTATATACGGATAGCAAATACTTGATTTCCATTAAGAAAGGTTCTTATGACTCTGTAGCTTTACTTTTTTTATTTTGTTTAGGAATAAAAATGGCTGGAGAAGGTGAAGAAGATGTACCTAGAGATGCTAAGACTGTGAAATCTTTGCTTAAGTCGATGGGTGTAGAAGACTACGAGCCTCGTGTGATACACCAGTTTCTGGAGTTATGGTACCGGTATGTGGTCGAAGTGTTGACAGATGCTCAGGTTTACTCAGAGCATGCTAGTAAATCCAACATTGACTGTGATGATGTGAAGCTCGCTATTCAATCCAAAGTTAATTTCAGCTTCTCACAGCCACCTCCAAGAGAGGTATGCATTGTTGACGATTCCTTGTTTCTTCTGTTTCACGATATGATTTGGTAGTTGCTATGTGAATCAATAGGGATTTATCACTCTTAGTTATGACTTGTGAACTGTGACCCTCTTGCCACATAAGTTGCATTGCTGAGAACCTTAAATGTTTTCGTCTGTAAAACTCTTGCCGTTTGATTCCTGAATCTTAAAGTTTATGTTTTTGATGTTTGGTTTAGGTTCTGCTAGAGCTTGCTGCAAGCAGGAACAAGATCCCTCTGCCAAATCGATAGCAGGACCTGGTGTTCCACTCCCACCTGAACATGACACATTGCTGAGCCCAAATTACCAGCTTGTGATACCGAAGAAGTCAGTTTCCACAGAACCTGAAGAAACTGAGGACGATGAAGAAATGACAGATCCTGGACAGTCCTCTCAAGAACAACAGCAGCAACAACAACAAGCATCAGATCTTCCAAGCCAAACTCCTCAAAGGGTCTCTTTTCCACTCTCTAGACGACCCAAATAAGTAGATATTGTTTCTATGACATTTATATTCTATGTAAAAACAAGTTCTTTTGATTAATTGAATTTTTATACAGATTTTCATTAGAAACTTTAATTAAGGGACTAGAGCTATATAGATATATATATGGTAGCATAATAGCATAATTATATATATATATATATATAATAGCATAAAATAATTAAAAATAATAATTATATGTACGTCGGTTGTATAATTGACTCAAACAGTTTTAGCTTTTAAGTCACTTAAAACCGTCGTGAATGTGAGTAAAACTGACGTAAATATTGAGACGTTAAAGTAAATGTCGGTTCTATAATTGATGTGAAAATATTTTGCGTCGAAGGATATTACGTCGGTTTAGTAACCGTTGTCATTAGATTTAAGTCAGTTTATATGTGACGTAAAAGTCAAAATAAACCTACGTCATGTGCCGTCTCTCTTGTAGTGGTTGAATGATATTTTAATTGGTTTCTTAATATCAAGTGGCACAAGGAAAAGGTGATCGCCCATGATTAATTTATTGCGGATAGAATTAATCAATTACATTAGTTTAACATGGATATATATTAATTAGCAGTTATCGGATATTAGATTCGAGATTACTGAATATAAAAATCTAGCCGGCCAAAAAATGTTCCCTGGAAGGACTTTTTATCTAATGGTTTAATTTACAAAATTTATGATTAACATTAGTTAATACTCCTGTGGCTTTTATTATATGCAAAACTAAACGCTTTGGTCAAATGTACAAAAGTATTTTACTTTCTTCTAGTTGAGTAGATTAATCAAATTTTAGCTTACTTTGTCATGCCACGTCACTATCAAGTATCAATCACGAGTTGCATCTTTATATGGGCCTATAGAAATGGAAAAAAAGAGGCCCATGATTTTAGAAATGGAAAAAGAACAGGCCCATGATTCTCTAGGTCAAAATAAGTAACTAATCAATAATTTTCTGGAAACAAAATTTAGACCGAAGCATAAAAATCTTGATTTTCTTAACAACTTTAGAAATTTGGAATACTGAAAGGGGCAATGATGATACCGTAACCAATAAAAGCTGCTAGATTGTAAAATGTATCAAAAACTGATCAATAAAAACTCTGTATACTGTATAGTGTAGACATTTCACCATATAAATGGATCAAAGTTTATTTATAACTCCATGTAATTGTTTAATTTGTTGTAGAAATCTCATTCCAGAAAAAAATAAAAGCAAGTAGAATTAACGATTTACATTATTATCCACAACTCGTTACATTTTGAAAGAAATTTAAAAACCCACCTTTCACCCCCAACATGCTATAAGCTTATGACCGTAATAAAATACATATTTCATCAATAATCCATTATCCATCCCTATAGTTACACATTTATATGCATGATATAACTTATTAAACACTGTGGTAGCTCATCTGAGCGTAATCTTGAAGCATAACCATTCCTTCAGTCGTCTGATCAAGAACAGAAGCTGATCCCCAAGAACTCGACGACGTCGTTTTCCTCTCTACCTCCACTTCCTCTGACCACCAACTCGAACTGTTCGTTAGCTCAAATTCGTTGCCCACTTGAAACAATTCCTTCGAAACACCTCTGTTCATAAGGTCCATGTTATCATTATCTATTCGAAGGTCCTGCGAAAAACCGAAATTAGGTTGAAATTCGTGAGCAGGGTTTTGGGATTGCTCTACGTTCTCCGAATAGAGAGAAGAGACTCCATTGTTGATCTCAGTTAGCTTCATATTGTTGTGCTGATGATCAACGTTAACTCCTAAGGGGTGGAAGCTTTCTTGAGATGCAAGCTTGGGGTTTTGATTAGGAGTAGTTGTAGTACTCTGCAGCAATGGATGAAGCTTGGGCCACAAGATAGGGTTGTTGTAGAAACTAGAGAAAGGACTCTGTAGATTCTGAAGCTGCATGTGAAGCTGGAGCCTCTCCAGTGCCGAATTGCTTAGATTCTGAGGACTCTTATTGTTGTTATTGTTATTGAGGTTGTTCTCGGTAGAATCGGTTATGGAGTCTTGACGATTCATTTGTTTCTGTCTTCCAAGAAGTTTCTTCTTCAGTTTTGTGTTCCAGTAATTCTTGATATCATTGTCAGTCCTTCCAGGAAGCTGAGCTGCAATTATGGACCACCTGCATAAATATATCACATTAAGGTTACAACTAAAAGAAAGTTTTTTTTAGAAAAACTATGTATTTAGAATCACTAACCAAGTTCATGTTTAATAGACATAAATGTATAAAGGTTCTTACAACGACACCAAAACAAGAAGAAAGAGACAATATAAACCCTAAATTCTATGAGAGATACCATAGCTTGAAGAAACATGGGCTTGCATGTGTTTCAGCATAATAAGATTCATAGACAAAAGGTAAAAAGACAAGAATCTCAAGTTGAATTTCAACAGAAATCACCTCTAATTCAGAACAAGAAAAAAAAACAAAAAATTATATTTAACTAAGAGGTGTTAATTAAGTTAATTAAGATAGATAAGATCACTGACCGGCTTCCAATGCTAATGTAGAGACTCAAGATGATACTATCTTCCTCCTCAGAAAAACCACCATGTTTGATGTTTGGTCTTAAGTAATTAAGCCATCTCAGTCTGCAACTCTTACCACATCTCTTCAGCCCTATAATTTACACAAATCTCAAAATCAGAACAAAACTTGATCTATTCAAGAGAGGGGTTAACGGGCATCTTTTAATAAACCATGTGAAATTTTAAAAGAAGCTGAATTATAAATTATAAGATAGTTATAAATTGTAACCAATTAGTTATGGGATTCGAATTTAAACAAAAGTAGAATTATTACCAATTTTCTGAGGCAGTGCGATCCAGTTGCCACCAGTGCCATATTTGTCGATGTAATCCTTGAGCTTCACATCTTCTTCTGGCGACCATGGCCCTTTCTTCACGTTTGCCTTGTCGCAGCATGGAGCTCTTCCCATTTTCTTACAAATCTTTGTCTTTTCTTGATCTTGTCGTTGTTGTTGTTCTTCCAAGTGTTGATTATGTTTGATGTGATGATGAAATGATCTAATGCTTAGATGAGATGATATATAAAGACGAGAAAAAGAGGATATTAGTTGATGATTATTATAACCGGAAAAAAGTAAATATTAAAAAAATACTATATGAAGTCCTCTCCGCGTTTTAATGTATTTCTCATAATTCAACTTCAACCCTAATTGTATATTTTTCTAACTAGGGTTTTTGCTTTTTCTGCATTTTGGATTAGTTTTCTAACCTTTAATTATATTATTTATATTTTGAAAAAGGTAAAAAGTTGTCTCAATTTTAATAATCATTAACGTAAAGAAACACTTGCGTGAAAAATTTGTCCAATTATCACTTTATATATTTTAATTAATAGGTCAAATTAAAGGGCAGGAAACAAACCATCATCTCGGTTTGTCGTGACTTGGGTTGAAATGTTCTCTCTACAGCCAATCAAATGTCATTAGTCATTTTAATTTCTGATGTACTTCTTGTAATTTGGATAATTTGCTTAAGTTTATAAAAATCGTCTGGATAAGTGAATTTCTATTGAATTTTTTTAAAAAAAATTTGAATTTCTTATGACAGAAATTTTGGGTAGAAACCAAGTGAGTTTTCAAACCTTGCATAGTTAATGTATAATGGCCAAAGAGAGAAACTTCATTTTTTAAAAAAAATTTGGACAGAAAAAGAGAAACTTCAAAGAATAAATATTTTTACTTTCTGTTAACAAAATGATGAACACTGGCCCGGCCACTACTACAATACCAAATCTCGGTGATAACGAAAAATTGTGTATGTGTGGATTCTCTTGATTATAGAAAGTGATGTTAGAAGAAGAAGAACTTTCTAAGAAATTAACCGATGCTATATATGAAAATGCGTGTGTCGTAAGGAAAAACGTCGATATCGAGAAGACCATTGCAAAATAAGTTTGACTTCATCTTAAAGTAAGCATCAATTTCCATGTCTAGGCCGTTTTTAATTTGTCTCCCATTTTTGTTCTAGAAACTCTTGTTCTTTGACTTATAGTCTTTTTTACATAAATATATACACATAGCTAGCTATCTATAGTTTAACAATATGGATTACATAGTATTAGGAGTGTGACCTAACTTAACCCAAAAGCTAGCTCAAGAGTTAAGGATTGCCACATCCTATATACTACCCAAAGATCTTAATCCCAAGCAATGTGGGACCTTCTAATAGGCCTCCTCGAGATGTGGGTGGGGAACGGCCCAACGGGAACAGCCCAAGCCCAACATCTCGGAAATACAACAAGACATGCCACTTATATGGGCCACATAGGTGGGAAACCATTTTTGTGGGAATTTGCTTGTTGGGCCAACCTTGGGCTCTGATACCATATTAGGAGTGTGGCCTAACTTAACCCAAAAGCTAGCTCAAGAGTTAAGGATTGCCACATCCTATATACTACCCAAAGATCTTAATCCCAAGCAATGTGGGACCTTCTAATACATAGTCTACGCGCAATGGGAGCATTTTCAACTTCGAAGAGAATTGAATAGGAATAGATGCATCATGCAGGAGTTATATAAAATATATAATAAATCTGTAAATATTAGACATTTTGAGGCTTATCATTTTTTTGGATAGCTTATATGATTTAACTGTGGATTTTCAAAAAAATAAATAGATTTGTATTATCCCCATGTAAGTTGACATTTATTTTATCTTAAGGTTTTGCATTCTTATTTTATTACTATAGCCATCTACCAAAATATTATATGGAATAGTTTCAAAAGTACTATCAACTAAATCACACATTAAGTTTCTTATCTACCAAATTGTCATTCATCTAAATTCTTCTGCCTCTTTTTGCAAATCAACCGTAGTTTTTTAATTACTTTGTTAAATATATAAATTGTCGGTAAAATGGTCATAAGATATATAACAAATTGCTTTGCATGAATCAGGTCAACAGTCATTGCTTAAAAAAGATTGTATGGCTTTTCCAACCTTGCAAGAGTTACGTTTTAAAGTAAGTAAGTTTGTATCAATAATAAGTAACGGTGATATATGGATTTACATGATTGGAGAGCAAGATAGTTATCTATATCTTGAATAATTTTATAGGATTTGCCGATTCGGCAGGTCATATTAAATTTAGTTAGCTAAAACCTTATATGCATACGACTCTACGAGATTTTTATTTTACTTTTGATATCTTAAACATATATCGGTTTCGAGGATTTTATTAATGCTGCCAAGAACATCTAGTTGTGGAAATTATTTTTTATTTTAAAGAGAAGTTTAAATACAAGAATTGATCTGAACAACCAGACAACTTACACTAATTGAAAAAAAAAAAAAAAAAAAAAAAAAAAAAAAAACTTACACTAATTGACCTTGATTTATCACAAATATGTCTTTTGAAAAATTTAGTGCATATATATTCACAAAACAAAATATTTTTAATCAAAAGGATTAATTAATTAGTTAGTTAAATAATCAAGTGAGATAAGGAACCACGAGTAGGCAACAAAATAACAAGAGGAAACCATCAAAATTTCATAAAGGAGCAACTAATATTCTGTATAATTTAATAACCCTACAATATAATAAAAGATATTCTGTATAATATAATAAAAGATTGAAGACACCAGGAAATTCAGAACTTTAAATAAAAGCAACGCAAATGTTTCTTGTTGTCCTTTTTCAGAACCCTAGAATCGATGCATTTGACAAATCCCAATCTTTAAGACATTATAATCGAGCTGATTAGTGGTTAAATACATGTATATTGTATATAGTACTCACATATGAAACAGAGTTTTAATTGTGTTGGTGATATTTTTTCAAAAATGTCATAAGAGGATAAGCTTCGATAGGTGCGTATTGCTTCATTAATTTATTTAAATAATCAATGTTGCTTGATTAATTTCCCAGCTAATCTTTATATATCATATCCCCAAGATTTTCTACAAATCATTGCTAACAGCTTAATACTGGAATTAACATTCAAATGAGTTATAGATCGTGTTCTTATGGGACAAGAACCTTGATTCTTACTAGCTATTGAAATCATTGCATATGATGGTTGCTCTCAATGTATATCATTTAAAAAAGAAAATAATGATTTGAGCAAATATTTATGTTGAGGAAGAAATCGTTCAAATACTGGATCCAACTAAATCTCAAATTCAAAATGTGAAGCCATATAAGATTTGGGAGATATATTAGATTATTGGTAATTAAAAAAAAAAGTATATTGTAATAAGACAAAATCAATTTTTCATTATTCTAGTAATAAGTTCATTTAATTGTTATGAGAAGTGGGATTTTTCTATGTAAGATGTTACTTTTCTATATAACATGTTATTTTTTACGTTGACGTCTAAATTATCACATGACACCATAACAACAATTAAACTAAATTTGAAATCCTATAACGCTCATGTAATAAAATTAGACTCCCACATAAAAAGCATGTTACAAGACAGAATAAATCAGCTTGTAATAGTTAAATAAAAGGTAAAGTAGTTTAAATATGATTAAAAAAATCGTATTAATTTTAAATTACTTTATTTTTAATTTGCACATTCTTTTCATTGGATGAAAACACTAGTTAATGTGTATTGCATACTTCAATATTGTGGTTGATATCAACATGTCATATAGAAGAATTTATATGGCATAATATAACACAACCCATATCAATGAGAAAATACCACTAAAATATAGTATGAAAATAGTAATTAATACTACGATCACAAATATGAGTATACATTACAATTAATATGAAGAAATGTATATAGATATCCTAAACAAAATGAAAATTAGTGGATTTAAGCTAGATTGGAAAAAAATATTAATAATATTGTTTTCAAAGTTTTGGTAGTTTTTCCCAACGAATTCAAGATAAAAGATTGAGTTTGGCAATTTTATATTATAAACTATAAAGAATCTTTTCTTTTTACCAACAAAAAACTAATCCAAGGAAAAGTGTCACTCATCATTTCATCACGTCACTTGGGTTGACTAACAACAAATTACCGTACACAATTTCTTTCCTTTGTAATGAGACGGTAAATGATTGTTCTCTGCTACATATATAGAGACATTTTTTACAACTTATATTTGATATCATATATATATGAATCATATATATATATATATTTTTTTTTGGTAATTTGAATCATATATATTTTTTTGATAAAGGATATATTGAATCATATATTCATATTGGCTTCAAATCATTTTCAATTGAGGAACAAGAAAATATAAAATACAACACGTGTGGCTGTGTACGTGTGAGTTTGACCATATGAAGGAAACGTCATTAGCGCGTGTTAGGTGTTACATGAAGACTTAAGACGAGAGCATTACTTAAAACAAAATCATACCATATAGTATATGTTTGTAGAGACAGGACATTGGTTTATTTGATTGTAATCACTTATCTTGACCTTACACTTAAATTACTACTAATACGACTTATCTTCAGAATTCAACCATTTAGTATAACGTACTCAAGCTTATATTATACTAGACTTTCTAGTCCAAATTTCACTTAATTTGCGTGAGTGTTAATTATAAGGTGTACAGGCATCATCTATTGGTATGTGTTTAGTCTTAACAAAGACTACAAATAAAGTTCTTTTTGCTAAAAGTTTCGATTAAATAAAAGATAGATACAATGTTTTCCGATCAAAACTGGATTGGCGTTAATTACAAATTTCATTTGTTTAATTATTAAGTCCACTGGTCCAATGATTAACACGACATTTTGTATAATTTTCTCATAACAAATTAAATAGGTAATTAATTGGTTAGAAGGATGTTCTGTGTACAAGGAAGATACGACATCGGAGTTGATAATGTCATGCTTTAATTCTTCTCCTACTTCACTTGCTAATTTTTTAAATGACAAGAAATTAAGAAGATCTTTTGTACTTGCGAGGGGCTGACTTTTCTGTTCATAGATAAGAATATATAATTATTTGTTAAAATTAATTTTAAATGATTATTAATTAAGTATCAAACAAAACATTTTTTAAAGTCAAACCTAATAAGTACTAACTATTTAGAGAGAGATTGAGAGGATTGCAGTCCTGTCACATTTTGTTGCCATCCCTCTAGCAATGTCTTTGGACCCTTTAATCCATTACCTAACCTCATCTCTATATTAACACTAATTTTCTTTAGTCTAATTCTGAGTTGGGTTTGTTCGAATCTTGGGAATTTTTGTGACTAGACGACGCCGTTTTACGGAGCTTCTCAGACCACAGGTTTTGTCTATTGGCTACGAAAGATACAAACACACTTTATCGCAATTAAATATTTTTAAGAACAAAAATCTTACTTGTACTAATTAAATCTTCTGAGAAAGAAATAAAGAATAATCTAATGTGTTCTTCAAACACAAATTTTATATACAAAGACCAAATTTATACCCCCAAAAAATAAAAATAAATGAACGAGAGACAGCCCTCAATGATCATCAAGTGCAACCAATACATTGCTTGATCAAAAAAGTTCCAAACCAAAATCCTCTAATTTAAACATAAAACTATATACCAATAAAAACACCATTTTTCTTTCTCCCACAAAACGCTAGTTTTCACGTTCCAACCGCAAACCAAGTGGTAACCAAAAATAGGCTAACTATACTTTTTTATAAAAACTCAAAGTAAATAGAAGCCTTTAATCTTCAAGAACCATCACCATCTTCTTCTTCATCATCATCTTCATCTTTATTCTTCATTTTTTATGTTTATGTATTTACTTATTTCAAATTCATAGCAGCAGCCATAGTCCTGAGCTTCTGTGATATTTCAGTAAAGGATGGTCTCTCTGTTGGCTCAGAGGCCCAGCAACTTTCCATCAATCCCTTCCACTCTGGATCACACCACTGTGGGATTTTCGGACGCAATGCGTTATTCACTATACCTCCTGTAATAGAAACACCAATCTACATTTAGTTTCATAACTCTTTATCATTCACAAGGTTGTTAACATATAAACCATAATTAAGAAACTTGTAATTACCAATTATTGAAGCACAATGCATGTCTGCGTAAGGTTCTTCACCAGTGAGTAATTCCCACATTACAATCCCAAACGAGTAAACATCGATCTAATCGAAAGAAACAGGCTTGGTTAGTTGACTATGAGATTCAATCCAATTAGAAGATTGAACCAAAGCTGCAAACTTCTGTAAAAAATATTGGTTACCTTTTCAGAGACCATGTTGCTTTTCCCACTCAAGAGCTCAGGTGCCATCCATGGCAAAGTCCCACGAACACCTCCTGATACTAGAGTCTTCTGTTTTATCTTCGATAACCCCAAATCACCAATCTGGAAAAGAAAAAAAGGAGACAATTTATGAGGAATATATAAGCTTATCCTTTGTTATATGGGAGATCGGATGAGCAAAAACGGAACCTTGCATATAGGACGCTGAGGATCTCTCATGTTCACAAGAAGATTCTCACACTTCAAATCGAAATGAACTATGTTCTTTCCGTGCAAGTACTCCATCCCAAATGCAGTATCCATGGCTATGATGAGTCTTTTGCGACGATCAATAGTTCTGGAGGAGTCAACCAATGTGATGTCAGATATTTGAATCCTCCAGGAAAATAGTATATAATGCATGAATATGTGAATCTTTTTTACCTATCCTTCTTCTGCAAGAACTGTTTCAAAGATCCGTTAACCATGAACTCAGCGACAGTTGCTAGAGAACCATCAGGACCATCACGAACTATACCATAGAACGACACAACGTTTGGGTGATGCAATGAGCTCAATAACAGGGCTTCTTTCCAAAAATCTTCTATCTGCAACAGCAGAAAAGCAGTAAGAGAATTATACTAGACTTAAACGTTGATGAAAATGTTAAATTCAATTGATGATAAAGGAATTCAATTTTACCAAACGTTCCCTTTCAGAAGGTTTGCCTGCAAAGCAGCTGGCTTTTATTCTCTTTATTGCAACATCTGAGCCTTTCCATTTTCCATGGTAAACAGATCCATATGTTCCATGGCCTAACTCTCGGATCTCCTCCAGATCATCGTTTCTTATAGACTAGATGAAGAAGGTGAAAACCAAGATAACTAAGTCAAAAGGACTAGAAATTTGTTCGGTTTCAGAATTCTAGAAGACGGGTTTAGGCATAAAATTGTTTTTTTTTTTTTTAAAGATTGGATGTAGTTACTAACCTGTAGTCCCCTGGATCGAGCTTCAGCCTCAGCCTTTGTTTGTTCAATCTTGAAATTGTTTGGGTTATCGCTATCAGAATCTATCTCAGGTTCGTCTTGAGCATTCTGAAAAACAAAAGTTTGTTGCAAAATGGAAGTCAGAAGACAGGAAAACCCTAAGGCCTCATAGCCGGTTAACATCTCAGAATACTCACCATATGCTCTGATTCATTTTCCACCAACTCCGGCCTCACTTGATCTTTGGATTCTTCTGGATGAGCTTTAACTTCAGCAGCTCCTTCAAGTGCCGCCCTCTTCACAGATTCCATTAACTCAGGCAAGAAACTCAAACGCTCAACTGATAGCTCTGCCCCTTCAGGACTAACTTCTACCATATCTTTCTTTCCTTCAGCTAACTGTTGAGGCTTATCTAGGTAAGGAACACCATTTGAAACACCAGTATCAACATAGTTAAATTGTTCACCTCCCTGAGCAAACTTGCTCTCAGGTGTCTGGATAACTGGTGTCTGCATAATTGGTGCAGCATTGGGGTGTAACAATGGCCCAGACAAAGGCTCACGCACCTGTAGATGTTCATTATGTACTGTCGGGTTTTCAGATGACACCCAATTTGGGTCTAAAGGGAAGGCTCTATCTTGCAAATGGGGATTAGGGTAGTAAGGCTGGCCAGGGGAGGACATTCCATCAAAGCCTGAAATCCTTTGCGGGGAACCAACCAAAACACCTTGATTCTCCACTCCAATAGAATACCTAGGAGCAGTTTCTACCGGATTCCTGATAATGGTCTGATTGACTGTGCCATTGATTTGCATGGGCAAGCCTGGAGGACCAGCTATAGGATTTGAAACGTTCTGCCAAATATTTTGTTGAGGGTGCATATGGCTATGACCTGCTGAGTGGATACTTTCAGGTCCTGGAGGATAGAGATTATTCCCATAATGAAACCCACGTTCCTCAGCAGAACGGTTGGCCGAATTCAGGGGAATGCCACCAAGTGGTTTATCATGGAACCCTTCATTGGAAATTTCATGTCCAGCTCGTTGACCAAGAGGATAGTTCGGCACAGGATAATCGGGAGTGTAATGATCGTTTGGTCTTCCAACATTAGAAATATGTGACCTTCCTTCCTCAATCCTTGGAGGATTAGAATTCACCTGTTGTTGGACCATCCATCCTCTTTCATGTCCGAAAGTCTCATTGGGATAAGCTCCGTGATGAGTAGGCTTCGGGTCTGTGTTAAGCAGGAAACTTTCCCTGTTTGGTGGACAATGTGCACAATGAACCGGTGGATATCCATTGTTGCCTATATTATGCTGCTCCAAAAGCTGATGGTTCCTATGATACGGTACACGACAGTTCTCGCATACATTACCACCTTCATAGCCACCTGGACCACTGTGAAGAACATTCCCAGGAAAACCACCTTTACTCTCAGGTGGCATTGCTCCAGCTGGGACCCACACCACACTGTCAGGAATGTGTGCCTGGTGCTCATATAAAGGATGATGACTTGCTTGCGGCCTCACATACTCCTCAGGCATTCTATCGAAACCCTTATCAGGAATTTCCCCATATGGCATTCGATAACGAGCAGAAGAAGGCGAAGATGGAAATTCCTGAAAAGTTCTGGGATCATGATGTCCATGGTGCCGAGGAGAATAGTAAGGACTCCATGTACCTTCTACTTCACCATACCTCTGTGCAAGCATCTGCCCTGAACCCACACGAGGAATCCTGAGCTGGTGAAGATTACTATACTGCGCAGTAGGTATCTCGGTGCCCCTCTGGCTACCACCACCAGTCTCAATGCTCAGCTGATTCAGCATCGGTTCCACCATCGAAAATTCATCAACGAGATTGAAACGAGGTGAATCAGGATACTGCTGAAGCTTCCTAAAGTCTGTCCCTTCGATCAAATTATTAAGAGCATCAACATATCTCCTCTCAGATTCCCTCTGATCATCGCGTTCCACATAATGCAAAGAACCATCCTGCTCAGGAGACGAAAACAGAAAGATCCTAAGCCTAGTAAACCCATCCCCTGAACCTAACTTATCATATTCCTCCATCATATTCGTCACATCATCATCATTCACAACCGAGACCAAAGCATCAAGATCCTCATCAGGCTGCTGATACTTCAACACCGCTGCACCATCATAAAGCTCTCTCATCTTGCCCATCAACTCCTCATACCTAATATCTCTATTCACACTCACAATCCTCGTCTCTCCACCAACATACCTCAATTTCCCATCCTGAGGACGAGGCAATATACTGCCTAAGAAGCTACACAGGAATTTAACACGATGCGGCTCATCGTTCAAACTCGACACTGGACTAGTGACAGAAGATGAGTTCACAGAACCTGAATCCATGACGAATCTCCTCTCAACCTGATTATTATTATTAATTATAATCAAAGTTCTGTTCTTGAATCACCAAGCTCGCTTATTGCAGATGGGAATTCAAATCCGCAGATAATTCTTTCTCAGTTTCGTACCAAATCTCAAACCCACGATGACAATAAAACTTGGTAGTGGTTCGCTGAAAATAACAGTTGAAATGATTCTCCATTCTCACAAAGCATTAGCACTTATCTGGTAAAAAAGCAGAGACATGCGTACATAAATCAGTAAATCATCAATCCATTCTTCTTTCCCACTCATTCCCATACAAATATTCATCATCATTCAAGCTCATTATTCCTTTATCTTTATCCATCTGAAATAACACAAACATACAACCATTTAAGAACTGACCAGAGATCTTAATCACAAACATACAACCATTTAAGAACTGACCAGAGATCTTAATCACAAACATACAACCATTTAAGAACTGACCAGAGATTTTAAAGATTAGAGAAAATGCATATAGCATAAGAGAAACATATATACAAAATGCAGAAGGAACCAGAATCACATTCAAGTCTAAATTCACCTCTAAGAAAACTCAGAAACTCTAAAAAAACTCAGAAACGTATCCCTAAGAGTATTAATTCAAGTCTTATTTACCTTAGTAGTTAGGCACAAAAGTCTTGCCGAATATGTGAAGAATTTAAGGTGATGATGTGGTCCTTGTACAGAAGATCTGCAAATACACAACAGAACAACATTTAGACATCAATGAGGAATAATATCTAAAAAAAGACGTGAAGCTTTGTCTCTAAACACATACATACATATACAGAATTGAATTCTGCTACGTTATAACTTGTAAAGCTCTACTAAACCCTAAAGGAGCAAAAAAAAAAACCAGAGAAGGAAAGCTGAAAATGGTAAGTTTGGCTATGGCTGCAACTGCAACTACAAGCTTTTCCTATACAGAATTGAATTCTGCTACGTTTAGTCCTCTTTCCACTTGTTAACATATCTCAAGAAGGCACTAGCTGGATTTTCATGAAGTGGAGCTCTTACACGAGCTATTAGGGAATCAATGATGCACAAACATGTTACAACATATAGCGTATACTTGCAAAGAATTATTAAATGTATCCTAATTTTTTCCTCTTCAAAATCAATACAGTAACATGTTATGATGGAAAGACTTCTCTTGGATTATGCAAATAAAAGGACTTTATGAAATCTAGATACCCCAACAATGAATAAAACAATTAAAATGAATACAAATCAAGACAAATTCTAGAACAATACAAATCTCGAAACGATAATAAGCACAATAATAATAAGTTCCAATTATTATCAAAGAGCAACGATTTGAATACAAATCTCATTTTTCTGAAATTTGACAAAGAATCAGCCATAAGCCAAAACTCAAAAAACCCACAATAGAGATTAAAGAGAAAAACCCAGAAAGCAAAACTAGTAAGGAAGCAAACATCATCAATTCACGCAACAATACTAACCTATGTGACAACAACAACAACAAATGCAAAAGTTCACACACTATTAGTAGAGAAATTCACAGATTTAGATATGAAGCCAAAAGATTGAAGAAGCTTGATATTGGAGAAGCTCTAAAGACCCATCAACACAAACCCATCAACACAAATCGTGAAACCCATAAACGCAAACCCAGAATTGTTTTCGATAAACCAACCTCGAGAAGAGAAGAAGAGACCCGAGAAGAGAAGCAAAATCGGTGTAATCCAAATCAATTACCTAGAATCTCTGAAAAAGAAGACGAATTTGCAGAAACCCTCGATTTAAAAATGCGTAATTTATATAAATCACGCTCCGATTCCGCACTCTGAAAGGACTCAAGACGAAATCTGAATTGGGAAATTTTTTGGAATTTAAAGAGAAACCCAGGAGAGATTTAAGAGTGGAGATTCGTATGGAAAGAAGAAAGATTTCGATTTTTAGATGGAAGAAATAATTGAGAAAGAGCGGCGACGACAGAGGTTTCTTGGTTTTGATTTTGATGATGAAAAAATAAAACCTTTTTTTAATTTTCTGGGGATTTTGTTTTTGGGTAGAAGAAGAAGAACTAGAAGATGCGATGCTTCTGTATCGCCAGGTAGCTATCCACGTGGCGCTTTTTCGCTTTTTAATTTAATTATTTTTTTCGTTGAATTTGTTTTTTTTTTTTAAATTGTTTCTCCCAGGGCATGGCGTACTGGTATTGGGTACGGGTATATGCTTCTTCCTCGTCCGCAGAGATTCCTTGTGCCCACCGCCACTGCGCGTGTTCTTCACCCGCATTTATATTTCCATTATTCAAAAATTAATTACCACTAATGTAGAGTATTAGATTGTGAAAATAGTATAATTACATTATTAATCTGGTTTGCATGTGAAACGCTTTATCCAATCATTAATTTATGTTTTAATGGGTTCTACATCAAATTTATAATTTATTTTTATGTATTTTCTAACAGATTATAGATTTAAAGTCGTTGACAAAAAAAAAGATTTAAAGTCTATTTAAAACTTCATGTTATAAATACAGAGTTGTTCTTCGTAATCTTCTGTATCATGAATAAAAATTATATATACTGAGAATATATGTATATTTTAGATCTTGATAAAATATATTGTTTAGATCAAAATCCATATTAATCTCCAAAACATGTGAAAAATATAATTTTGCATGCTTATTCAACAACCACAGATTGTTTCCAAAACAGAAGTATGATTTTTACAACATTTATGTTTTGGTTAATCAAAAGAATAAAATTTTTATGTATTTTCACTAGTTTTTTTTTCACTCATTATTTTTTGGTAAAAATAACTTTAGTAAAGATTTTGTGTTAATATTGTTATGTATATTTTTCTTGCTTTAACTTCTTTGTTATATACTGGTCATATGTTTTATTTATTGTAGGAAGTAATCAATGTTTAGCCGTTGCTATTTATTTAACCCACGGAGTTTACACGCTCATCTCTGAGTTTCACTTTCACGCGACACGTAAGGTGGCATACGTCTGCGTCACGTTCTCTCCAATCATTTAGTGACAGTTGGCACATCTTTCAAAGCATCTCCAATAATCAGTAATTCGCAAAATTTTATGTGCCCGATTCGAATTCCTCCTTGTAATAATATCACAGGCGATTCTGTATCTTATAAATATGGGCCTAGCCCAGCCCACTAATCTAAGTTCGGGCCAATTAGATGATCCGCAAGACGGAAAGTAGTAAATAACCGGATTCCAAATTTACCCTCCAAACCACAACGACTCTTTCGAGCTAAACACTCGCTCTCTCCGCCACTTCACTATCCCACCCACCAACAATGATACCCGTAACCGCCACTCTCCTCCGCCACAGTCTCCGGCATTTACGCCACCGCATTCGATTCAACTCCACCGCTATTTCTCCTCCTCCTCACTCTATCCATTTACCACTCAACCATCCTACCTACTTAATTTGGTCAGCCAACACTTCTCTCGGCAAAACCCTCGTCTCTACCGGCATCGCCGCCTCTTTCCTCCTCCAACAACCTTCTTCTTCCGCCACAAAACTCCTCTATTTGAAACCTATTCAGACCGGCTTCCCTTCCGATTCCGATTCTCGTTTCGTTTTCTCCAAGCTCGATTCACTCTCCCTCCGTCGCCAAATCCCTCTTTCTATCTCCAACTCTGTCCTCCGTTCTTCACTCCCCGCCGCGGAATCCCTGGGATTGAATGTTGAACTCAGTGACACTGGAATGTGTAATCTGAACTTCCGGGAGGAGAAGACTGTCACCGGCGCGCCGGAACTTTTGTGCAAGACGTTGTATGCTTGGGAAGCAGCTATCTCTCCGCATTTAGCTGCGGAGAGGGAAAACGCGATGATTGAGGACTCCGTCGTGTTACAGATGATTGAAAAGTGTTTAAAGGAAGAGATGGAGTGTGGAGTTAAAAGCGAGAAATCGGATTTACTATGTTTGGTGGAGACTGCCGGTGGAGTTGCTAGTCCTGGTCCGTCGGGAACTCTTCAGTGCGACCTCTACAGGTAAATTATCTTCTACTTGGAAAATTTTTTGGATTAGGAGATTGAATTTGATTTATCTCTTACTCATTGTTGTGTATTGTATCCCTGTAATTAGGCCTTTTAGATTGCCCGGAATTCTTGTCGGAGATGGGCGGCTTGGTGGTATCTCAGGGACTATTGCAGCTTACGAGAGTTTAAAACTTCGAGGATATGATATTGCTGCTGTTGTTTTTGAGGATCATGGCCTTGTTAATGAAGTTCCATTAACTTCATATCTAAGGAATAAGTAATCTTCAGTGGCTTTATCAGTTTATGTGCTTTCGATTCTTATGTGTTCTTCATTAGAAGCTCATTGGTTAACTTTTCGTATTCGTGTTTGAACAATTCTGGTTGGTAGGGTGCCGGTGCTTGTGCTTCCGCCTGTTCCCAAGGATCCTTCAGATGATCTAATAGAATGGTTTGTCGAATCCAATGGTGTTTTCAAAGCTTTGAAAGAAACAATGGTGTTAGCTTATTTGGAGAGATTAGAAAGATTAAACGGCATGGCTAAGCAAGCAGGAGAGGTTTTCTGGTGGCCATTTACTCAGCATAAACTTGTGCATGAAGAAACTGTGACGGTTATAGACTCCAGATGTGGTGAACATTTCTCAATATACAAGGTTTGTGTGAGGAAATCCTTATGTAGTTTGACATGTCCATATTTTTGTCTTGAGTGATTAGTATGGTCATTAGCAATCTGATTACCTGGAAGTCATGACTTTATGGTTTCAGATATCTAATGGAACTCTGTTCTGTCATCATTTTTTAGGCTTCCGATAACAGTTCTCTTACCCAGCAATTTGATGCTTGTGCAAGCTGGTGGACACAGGGGCCAGATCCTACTTTCCAGGTCATCTGTGCCCATTATTTCCCAGTTTTATGACAAATATCAGTTCCGCATGCATTATTATGTCATAAATTTTAATGCTTGTCTCTCTTTGTGATGAATTTTCTGAAGTTTATTTGAACTTTTGTTTAGGCTGTTTCAGGCTGAGCTTGCTAGAGAAATGGGTTACACTGCTGCTAGGTTTGGGCATGTTATGTTCCCTGAGAATGTATATGAACCTGCCTTGAAATGTGCTGAGCTTTTATTAGATGGAGTGGGAAAAGGTTTCTAAACTTGCTATGTTACATTGTTTCTATTTTCAAACATTGGGGGATGGCTAATTAGTTTATGCATGCAGGCTGGGCTTCTCGAGTATACTTCTCGGATAATGGATCGACAGCAATTGAAATTGCCTTGAAGATGGCATTTCGTAAGTTTTGTGTTGATCATGATATTTGTGAGGCTACAGAAGAGATAAAGCATATTGTGGTTAAGGTACAATCATCTAGCTAATGCTTAACGTTCTTTGAGAGACTTTTTTGCACCTGTTATTGAACATTTGTTGTCCACTTTCCTGCTTACTAAGATACAATTGTTGCCCTTTCCTGGCAGTTCTTATTTTTCCATATGCAAGAATATCTTCATTTATGTTGTTTTTTCATTTGGGTTATAGATTCTAATGGGAAAAATTGATGTGTCTTAGGTCCTAGCTCTTCGGGGATCTTACCATGGAGATACTTTAGGAGCGATGGAAGCACAAGCACCATCACCTTATACAGGCTTTCTCCAGCAGCCGTGGTAATTTTTCTATTGTTTGTTATGATTTATGACTTGAACATTTTGTTTTTTTCCACTATCCATCTTCCGAATAAAACATTTATTGGATCATCTGAATCTCCTGCACTAATGTGGGAGGCATCTAACTACATATCAACCAGTCCTTAGTGTTTCTTAGATAGAGCTTTCATTCCTTAAGGATGAATCATGATTACATCTAGATATCAACACCTGCATAAATTCACCTTTTTCACATCTGAAACACTCAAATTGTCTTGAGCAAGCATTCTTTGTCATCTAACATCTATTTTTTTGGATTGTAGGTATACTGGAAGAGGTCTGTTTCTGGATCCTCCTACTGTCTTTCTCTCCAATGGAGCCTGGAATATCTCCCTCCCTGAAAGTTTTTTTGAAATAGCCCCAGAAAAATATGGAAGTAAATAGCATCCTTCCCTCTCTCTCTGCTATCCTTCTATATATTTCCTTTAGTTGTATGATTTAGAATTACCTAACTCTTACAGCCTTCGTCACCCGTGATGAGATTTTTGACAAGCGCAGAGACGCATCAATTCTTGCAACAATATATTTGGCCTATGTTTCAGAGCATTTACAACAATATTCTGGAGTTGGCCAATCTGCCCATGTGGGAGCATTGATAATAGAACCAGGTATGATTGTACATGTGTCAGTATGACTTCAAATAGTTGACGTATGTAAGTTCTTAATATTCAGTAAGTTTAGCATCCTTGGTCTCTCTATCTTGATTGCTAGATGCAAACCGCTCTTCTATTAAGTTGGCGATTTTATTTGCAGTAATTCATGGTGCTGGGGGAATGCACATGGTTGATCCGCTTTTCCAACGAGTTCTGGTCAATGAGTGCCGGAATAGGAAAATTCCAGTCATTTTCGATGAAGTGTTCACAGGATTCTGGCGTCTTGGAGTAGAGGTAGTAATATATGTAATCTTTTGATATATTTCTGTTACTAAATTCTATTTACGTTCTGCTAACAAATTACCATAATTTTACCAAGACTACTACTGAACTTCTCGGTTGCAAACCGGACATAGCATGCTTCGCCAAATTGTTGACTGGTGGAATGGTTCCTTTGGCTGTCACTCTTGCAACAGATGCTGTATTC